TTCTCCTCCAACAATTGAGAGAATTTTCAGCGAGCTGCTGATTTTGTGTTTCTTAGGGTGACCATACGTCCTCTTTTACGCGGACATGTCCTCTTTTTGGGGCGCTGTATGGCCTTATCTGGCATTGTCCAGGGAAGTTTATAAAATCCTTCAAATGTCCGGGGTTTTGTATGAAAGTTTTGAGTTTGTGTCGCGTGGACTTACTGAGTTAGACGCACGTAAAAGACACTCAATCCGACAGTGTCCTCTTTTTGGGAAGTCAGAATATGGTCACCCTAGTGTTTCTTGCCAAACCGTGCTTGGCGGCTAGCTAACACAAGTATGAATATAATTCAGTTTGTTTAAGCTCCGTTTTTGATCTCCACCAACTTTTTTAAGACGTATCACTATCTTCAGAGAGAATTAGTCCTCTGTTTTCTCAAGCTAGCAGCTAACTTAGTGAATAGCACGGGCAAATCTTAGCTAAAGCAGTCATAGCTCCATGTTTGGTCTCCACCAGTTTCTTCAGGCGATTTTTAGCTTTTCTAGCCTCAAAAGTTTCCTCTTTTTTACAAGCTAGCGCCTAGTTCTATTTCGCTAGTTTCACGTGCCAGCTGGCATTTAGTCAGTATGTTTACATGCAAAGCCAAATCAAGCAATTAGCGTAGCTTGATAAGGCAGTTTAATCGGACAACTGTCCTTTTCTCAGTTGACAAGCACCAGGCAAAAGTTGAATTGCAGTAGATGGCGACCATAGACTGCATATAGAATGGACGCCGTCTGCCTCCTCGCTGGGTGAAGCCACTCCGAGAACAGCACCCTCTGGTGACGGGCTGCAGTATAGGTCATTAATCCCGCCTCCTCCAGCAATCCTTATGGGGCTGTGGACAATCCTCTTTTTTCTGTACAGCTCTGTTTTTAAAACTTATTAGGGGGTTCATGTTTTCTGATTGACACCTGATACAGCCTATGGGCGTACAAAGATTGCGTAGCTCACCCGGGGGGATACGCAGTTTGAGCCGAGCGTCATCACAGCGACTCTTGGCGACTCTCCCGCCAAATGCGCACAATGCTAAGTGGTGGAGTGCATACAACGCTACTTTTTAGGAAGTTGAGAAAAAACGCAGAATTACCGAGAGCTTTTCAGCTTCAAATCCGTACACTGGCAGAAGGCGGAACAGTGTATGGTGGCGACATGCTCTCTTCTCAGGTCGTTACTTTCTTGTAGTTCCCCAGTTGACCTTTTATGTATCGTAAGAATCGACAAAATGTACGAGGCTAACGGGCTGTCTCTCTTAAAGTTCTGTACTGTTAGTTTGTCTTAGTTAGTTAGTTAGTTTAGTTAGTTTCATCTGTCGAGCTTTTGACCACGAGGCTTACTCGTAACTTGCTATTCAACTTCCAACAGTAGAGCACAGCACAGAACTTCAAGGCAAGTTTTCAGTCCGACTCAGTCATATGTAAGAAAATCAATTCCCAACCGCATTTTCCATGTATGTTAGTTTGACTGTAAAAAGTTCGATGTGGTGCGATTTCAATCTGACAAATGTTCATGTGTTCAAAAGTCGAGTTTCAGCCAAACTAAGGCAATCATGAATCAATGAATTTTTGAACAATATGTAAACATCCTGAGAGGCTTTTTGGAGCTTTATCCTGACCAAACAAGCCGTCTAATTGTGGCCTGAAATATGCCAGGACACCAAAACAGCACATGTGAATGCCAGAAAACCAAATCAATTAGCTCGGTTATGTTATAATAGTCCGCTCTCTACAGTTCAGAGCAAATCAGAGATTGTTTTTGAGGTTTTTAAACGCCACTCTTAAAGTTACATATCTTGATTTCACTAAAAGCACAGATGCTTTTAAAACCGTAGCGTTTTCGTCCGTATTTAGGTGCAGATTTTGCACTCAGGTCATGTACATCCCATCTGTGCTGCTTCTGAATGGGGTCTGTGGGAGTTTGTGTGCAGAAAACTGTGGTTTCTGTGTGATGTGTCACTTTGAATATGTGCTCTGCCGCTGAATATGAGTATGAATGTGTGAATGAGTCATTGTGTGTGTGTGCGAGGGTAATTGGGGGCTTAAAGAGGGGGGGCTACGAGTCGCTCCAAAGTTGTGCACCAGCCAGCCTGCCAGGTTGAGCGAGTTGCTCAAAGCTCGGCAGCTTTGCTTTTTGGGAGAGACGCAGCGGGTGGGTGAGGAGGGTGGTGGCAGTGGAGGGGGGAGGAGGGGGAGGGCAGGACCAGGACTAATTGCCACTAATTGAATTGGATGTGCTGATCAGATGGGAGGCTGTGGAAGTAATCTGAGTTGTCACAGCAGATAACGCTGGGCCGTCCAAGAGTGTCCGCCTCATGTGACAGCCTGTAACATAGCCTGCGAGAGGGCACCGGCCCCCTTTGTCCCCGCCACAAAAGGGGAGAGAAGCAAAGTTGCCAGTTACAGTGAGAAGGGGACAGGCTCGGCAAAAGGGAGGGGAGGGAGGGGAGGGGAAGAGGAAGGGGGAGATAACTGAGATGAAAGAGGAAAGCTGGAGATGTTCAGCGGATGAAAACAGTGCTAAAATGAGATGAAGACACTCGCCGGAAGGAAAGAAAAGAGCGGAGGAGTCGGGAACCTGCGGAGTCTGCAGGTTTCATTCACAAAATTCAGAAGCTGTAAGTGTTGGTGTTTGAGGATTCAGTCTGATGGACCGTTAGGTGAATCCCCTGAGGAAGACTTCTCCTCTACCTTCAGCTGAGGTTGTTTATGTTGGTGGCTGTGAAAACGTTTTGAAGCATATTTCTTCTGTACGGCAGAATTCGGAGAGTTCCTCGCTGAAGTAAGAGTGTAAATGCATCACCGTCATTGGAAGTCCTACGTTATACATGACACTTATAACTAGAAAACATCATTTTAGTATGAATAATAATGTTAACAATCTAGACAACAGTCCCGTTGTATGGTTTGTTGAACTTTTTATGCTTTGGAAGGAAAATAAAAATATAAAAAAAAGAGGAAGACAAAAATTATCAAATAAAAAGAAAGAAAAAACAAGTCAAGCTGATAAAAATTAAAGATTGAAGTGTTTTTAATGACAATAATGTTTGTATTTGCCAGTTGATAATCCACCTTGTCCTGAGTGTGAACACCAGACCAGGAAGTCACTTATTTTCTCTCAAAAATGGAGAACCAGGTGAAATAAAGCGATAATTAAAAAAAAAAATTCAAGAAAAAAAAGAGAGAAACTTGACAGAAAAGCACTTTTAAAAATAAATATTTGTATTTCAACAACAAAAAAAATGTGGCTAATCCACCACAAACAACATTACAGTAGTTCTTAAATGAAAAAGGTTAAAAATAGCTAAAATTTTATAATAATAATAACAATAATGATAATTATTTACAAAATAATAAAAATAACTTTTTTATCCAAAAGTTAATCTGTGTGTTTTGGAGAATGACCAACTTATAAACAACAATGTTAAAAACGTAACAGCCATCCCCAGTCTCCCCTACTTTTTGACATTTGGAGTCATAAGATAAGTATTTTATTTAATTACTCACATAAAATTTCTAAATTACTCTTAAAAAATGAAAAATGTGAAACCAAATGACTCTGAATCCAAACAGCGATTGAAACATTGAGCATTTAGACATTCCATTAAAAACAAAGAGTTAGAGAGTTGACCTTGGAAGCGTTTTACTTTGACCTTTGCCCTCTGTTGCAAAACACTGTTAAAACATTACAGTAGTTCTTAAATGAAAAAGGGTACAAATAGTATAAAAACATTAAAATAACAATAATGATAATAAAATAACTTTATTTCACCAAAAGTTGATTTGTGAGTTCTGAGGAATCACCAAGTTATTAACAACAATGTCAAAAACGTAACAACTGTCCCCAGTCTCCCCTACTTTTTGACATTTGCGGCCATAAGATTAATTATTTAATTGATTTCCCACTTCAGTTTTTTGAATTACCCTTAAAAAATGAAAAATGTGAAACCAAATGACTCTGAATCCAAACAGTGATCAAAATGTTGAACTAAGAGATTGAGAGTTGACCTTGGCAGTGTTTTTACTTTGACCTTTGCCCTCTGCTGCAAAAATAATAATAAAAAATAAAGAATAAATAAAAATAAAAATTTTCGAAAGTTTTCAAAATCACTTTGACCGTAAAGCGGTTTTAAACTTGACCTTTTATTTTAAGCTCTCTTTTGATTGTTACGACACACACCTGTTGAGTCTGCACCGAAATAAAACACCTGTCGCTTCTTCTTTGAGCGACGATCAGAAACTCGATTTTACAATTCGAACATTATCAGAATTGAAGTGTGAGTTCACACGAGTACAGGTACGGCAGCGACCGACAAAATAAAGAGGGAAGTAGAGAGTGTCTGTGGGTCTTTCCCAAGCCTGCAGCAGTCCAATTAAGCAGGATTTCACAGACATATACACACATCTACACACACACAGACACACACACACGCTTACAGCCACAGCAGCTGTGCAGTCAGTTGGTGCGATCGAGAGAGAGAGAGAGGGAGGGGTTAAATCTTGTCCTCATGATGAAAGCAGGCCGCAGTTGTGTGTGTGAATTTCTGCATTTTTGTGTCACTATGTACATCCACTCTGCAGAAATGTGTGTGTGTGTGTGTGCACGCCTCAGTGTGTGTGTGAGAGTTATGCATGCGGCGGGCATCCCGGGGCACGCAGATGTGTGAGGGTGAAGGACTAAGCTCTGGTGAAGCCCGCTGCGAGGGGTCAGGACCTTTACAGAATCAGTGCCTCTGCATGTCAGGACTAATGGAAGGGCCTCACCAGCTGCACCGAGGAGGAGGAGGAGGAGGAGAGAGGAAGAAAGGAGTGAGAGTTAGGAAAAAAAGATGGAGAGTAAATAAAGACCAAGGTGGGAAAAAAAAGGGTTGGATGGGACGAAGCCTGAGAGAGGAGGAGGAGCTGGAGGAATAATTGGAAAGAAAATACTTGAGGACTTTAGAGCGAACTGTAAACACTCATTTTATAAGACGAGGCCGAGAAACAGACGAGATCAGGACTCGGAATAAAGGAGACGAAAACTGGATTAAGTGGATGGAGCAGAGAAAAACAATGAGAGAGAGAGGAGAGAAAGAGGTAAGAATGAGGGATGTTTGTGTACGAATGTGCTCATGGAGGGAGAGGTGATGGTGTGATGGAGGGATGGAGGAAGAAATAGAGGAGGAGAAGTGGGTGTGGCCAAGGTTTGAACCCACTCCCACCTCCTTCTACAACTGAGTTTATCAGGTTTATCACTGCGTAACAATAACTCATAATCAACAGGGAAATTTAAACATTTAAAAGGTTGAATTATATCATTTAGGTGCAGATTTTGCAGATAGAACTTTACGAGTTTCTTTATGTTGCTTTAAGCTGCTGTGATTGTTATTTTCACACGTAAAGGTTGTGATGAAACCTTAAAGGTACCTTAAAACCTTATGAGGCTTTGTGATTGTCCTCCATATAAAGTATTACCTTAACTTCTAATACAAAATGTCAAAAGTCAAAAATTCACTTTTAATCCAGTACATTTCTCTCAATAATGTAAAAGAAAGTTTATATACATGTACACAACTTTGAACAAATGTAAACTGTACCATTAAAGCGAAATTATCTACACTAACTTATATACATAAATACACAAATAAAGTTAGTATAAGTCTCGACTTATGTGAACTCTTTCCAGTCTTCACAAATTAAATTAACACTGAATAAATCGAAAGGGTTTGGGTCACAATTAAGTGAGTCTAGACGGTTTAGGAGGTCATTATACAGAGTAATGACACCAAACAGAGGCGGCCGCGGTCGAAGGTCCTCGTCCAAGTTCAGCCATAAACAAAAGAAAATAGAAAAGAGCTCCACTGTACGAGTTTATTTAACTGGGAAAGTTTATTTTGATTATTTGAAATGAAAATATCTCCATTTATCTTAAATCCACTGAAGTTAAAGAGAAATTTTGAGGCAGAAAAGTCACCAACTTTATTTTACCTCAAACAACATTTGATTTTATAGTCTTTGTCTTCTTTTTCTTCATGTGACTCCATTTTTAGTCCACATTTTTAATTATTCCTTAAATTTTGACCACGTTTATCCCCAACTTTCACTTCTCTTACTTTCAAAACTGAAGTCCATTAAATATTAGAAATGTCCCTTTAAGACTCAGACACTGAGAATACTGGAAACATTTAGACAAATCAGATCAGCTGGTTCTCACTGGTTTGACAATCTTTACTTTTACTCAAGAATAACTTTGACTACTTCACACTCTTTAATTTTTATCTGAGCTGAGAAACATCTCTAACTCTCGTCAAAAGTGAACTCGAGTTACACAAACCCCAAATTCAAGCAGTTTTTTTGGATTTATCAAGAATTTTTAAAAATTAACTTCTTGTAATTTTATTTCTACTGTTTCTAAAATTGGGGAAAAATCTACACATGAACTTTTCTCTTTTTTATGCAGGTTTTAAAATACTTAAACATCCAGTTGCTGTAACAGGAATTTTTTAACGTCTTTGCTCTCACGTCTGGTCTGAGATGCAGGGTCACCTTAGGTTAAATCTTTTTTTCAGGTTTTTTATATTCAATAACAAGAAATTAATTATCATCTGAACCATTTTTGCTGCTGAATACTGATAATTCATCGATGATATAATGGGTTCGTATTATTAACTGTATTTAAAAACTTTTTTTGATGTTGTCTGTAAAATAGATTTTGTATCTCGCTGGGAATATTCCTATAAGACAATAATCTAAATAAATAAAATGAATAAAAATAGGTTAGTTTTGCCTGAGAGCACATACTTATGTTCTGATATACAGTCTACTCTACTGTAGAGTATTTCTGTGTGAGAGTAGCTGTGAGATCGACACAGTTTGAATGAGTAAGACAAGAACATGGAGGAAGAGGTGTGTGTAGGAGAGCTGACGAGTTTTAATCATTACTTTTTAGCTAAATCAGAACTCTACGCTCTCGCTTCGCCTCCTAACAAAGATCTTACTGTTTTCAAATCTATACTATAATTTATTTATGATCGGAAGAGAAAGCAGGATGAGATTTTAAGAAGGAAAAAAAAAAATTTGAATGTGTCGTGAAATTAGCAACAGAATAAGAGATACGGTTTGTCCACAGGGGGCGCCAAAATTAACACAAACTGGAGGCTTGCGGCAGGAGCTTTAAAGTTAAAATTATAAGGAGAAAAGTTTTGATGCGGGACATATTTAAACTGAGCGTGTGAAGTGACAGATAGTAAAGCCCCTCTCGGGAACTTCCTGTTTGTGTCGATTTTGGCGCCCCCTGTGGACATATAGATCTCCCTTTTGTGTTTTTGCGTATTTTCTTTTGTTCTGTCTGATCCTGCTTTCTGTTTACATCCAAATAGGCCCCTTTTTAGAAATATTTGCAGTGTGAAAAGTTAAAAAAGAGGTTTCATCTTCCTTCTTCTGTAAATTGACTCACCTGGCGCCCACCCCTCACAGCAGCTAAAGACATTAAACATTTCAAAACGCAGACATTGTAAATCAGGCTGATAGTATGATTTTAGGGGGTGTAGAGAAGCTTTGTTGTTAATTTCAGCCTGTTTCATAAGCAGATAAAAACTCCTCATTGGAGCTTTAAGGTTTCTCTTTGTGTTTAAAAAAATCAACCTTCAATTTTATCTCACAGAAAACAGATAAAAAGCTGGAAGAGGTGATTTAGTTTGATAATTCCTGATTAAGAGTGAAATATGCCACATTTAAGAATAATTCATGATTGTTTCAGACACTTTCAAAGATGGTTCCTGTTAGTCTGCCAAGACAAACACCTCTATCAGTGTCAGTGTGTCAGCTGCTGCCAGCCCACAGTCTGCTGAGTGTGTGTGTGTGTGTGTTAGAGTGTGTGTGAATGCATGTATTTGTGTGTGCGTGTGTGTGTGTGGGGCTGCAGACAGTGCCACTGTGTGCCCTCCTTGTCCAGACACTCTGCTTCCTCTCCTGTCATGACCCGCAGACGGAGCATGATCGGGCCGTCTGTGCCACTTTGTGCCGGGTTCAGCAGACGGCTTCCCCTTCTGACATCATCACTGTGAGACGGTGATGTAGCTGTCGTTACAGGAGACGGGGCAAAAGCCAGCGACACAGGACACTGACGGAGTGTCTGCTGTTTTCTTGTTCGGTGTACAGTGGCTGGTGTGTTATTTTCCCCGTTGAATTAGACTTTTGTTGTCTGGTAGAGAAGGGCAATTTTATTAAAAAAAGAAAAAAGACGGTAAAACTTAAACACTGGAAACTGACCTGCATGCTCCTTTACTACTCATCATTATAGAAAATATAATAATTTAAAGGTTCTCTTTATTTAAATGAGCTGCAAACAGGTTCAAACGTTTATAAAATTATTTCTAAACATTAAAGATAAATAATCTTTATTTTCCTGATTGCTAAAGTGTCCTCCTGCAGTCAGAGGAACTCAATCCAGAGGGGGAAAAACCTGTTAGAGAAACTCGGCCGAGCAACAGGTGTCCGATCACAGAGTTAGAGTGACACCTACAGTACAAAACTCAGGGTGAAAAAACACACACACACACACCGGCTCAGGCTGGAGTCAGGGGGAAACACAAATCCAGCCTGCAGGGGAGGCCTGAACTCAGAGACCTGCTGGAGGAGCTCTCAGCAAACACCGGCCTCAAAAAGTTACGAACATCTTTGTGCATATTAAAAAAACAGTTTGAAGGAAATAGATTTTATTACTTATTTTGAAAGGTTTTTTTCTACAAGAATATAAAACAGGACTAAATAACAACAAAAACAAACCAGACTTTGTGACACTGTCTTTTCTATTGTGCATGTTTCTTCTTTATCTTATTCTGCTTGATTTTACCTTTTAAACGAATCTTTTCAGATATGTGAACCTTAATAGATATCTCATTCCTACAAAAACTTTTAAAAAAGTCATGCAAAATTCTCAAATTTGTGTGACTAAGAAATTCCGCTTCAACTATTTTTTGAAAAGTCAAAAAGGATTTAGACTTGTAGAAACTATTCCCTTTGTTCTGCATAAGACGGTTATTCATCGTTAATTTATTTCTTTTTACCTTGTTTAAGAGAAATATAGGACTACGTTTGTTGTTAGAAGTACTTTAATAAATATATTTAAGTATTCAGTTTGATACTTTTCTTTTTGCATGAAGTGACGTGTTTGTGGACACCAGGGAAGTAGATAAGAACTGTATTTACTGTTTGTTGGACAGTTTTGTTCAGAGTCGGCCCAAACCTCAATGAGGCCCTGAGCAGAATTTGATTTTGGGGCCCTCTGTTTCTGCCAATAATATTGATTGTTGATCATTCACTCACCTTCACAAATCTCTTTGGTTAACATTCCATGACGTGCAGACATACCTTTATCTTCTTCCTCTTTCTTTTCTCTGCTCCTGAAGGATACGTCCTTTTTTGCGACATTGTTTTTCCCACAACTACCTGCTCTTTGGATGCTCAGTGCACATAACAGCAGCAGAGTTTGACATATCGGCAGTAAGAATAATAGGCCTACATCAGCAGCAGCTCGAAAATGTTTTTACTTTATTTTATTTTACAATAATATATATTTGATCAGACAGAAAGAATCGCTCATACATGCAAAAAATAAAAATTATCATTATTATTATTTTGATTGCTCTTAGGGGCCCCCTATTGGCCGCGTGGCCCTAAGCAGGCTTTTAGTTCGCTTGTGCCTTGGGCCGGCTCTGGTTTTGTTCAATAAACACAAAAGAAAACATATTTTTGTTGACGGATATTGACAATGTACTTTTTACTATAAATGTTCCACACAAAATTTGACGTAAATGGAATTGATAAGTAGAATTGGTTGATAACAGGGGCGTATCTAAACTTTTTGATTGGGGTGGCCCAACCGAACAACAAACAAAGGGTGCGGTGGCCTGGATGAGAGCACACACACACACACATTATCGTTAAAGTACCAATTCGCTGTGATTAGTCTTTTAAACCTTACAAAAAATTTAATAGAAGCACTGCACATTAATCTTCGTAGTTTGTCGTGAATTCTGTTTGATATCGGAAGTCAGACATTCAGATTCATCACTGGGAACGTCACTTGAAAACCCTTAAAAACTCAGAGCAACTTTATATACTTCAAACCATAAATCCAAGAAGGATGCTTGACTTTTAACGTTGTCTATTAGCAACTTAATCTGTTCATTTTTTTAATCATAAAGACAATATCGTAAATATTTTATGTGACTTTATTTTATGTTGCTTTGACGTACAAATGCTCACACTGAGTGTTTTTATTTCCTGGTAAAACTAGCAACGCACAACTTGAGTGCAATTAACTGTCATGTGGGCGGAGTCAAACATCCAACCTGAGAAGAAACGATTTATCTAGACTCACAATTTTTTTAATTAGCCAAAAACTCCTTATATGAGCTTTAATGATGACAGTGAGAGTAGCTATAGCTTGACTTCTGTGGATAAACTCTCAGGAGACATTTGTGAACACTCCCCCTCTGTTGTTTTGTAACAGCCCGTGTGTATCCGTGCGTTAATGTGCTCGGTAACTAATCACGGGCGGATATCGTCATTGACTCTCTTTTAATAGACTCGGTCATCATCCTCTGCTCCAAACCAACGCAGAGACAAATCCCCCCGCGGGGACCTGACTCACCGCTGCTGCTTATCTCAGCTGTGACACACTCAGATCCAACACACACACACACACACACACACACAACGCCGCAGCCTCATTTATTTATGTGTGTTAAGTCATGAAATATAGTAACATGAGCACGGGCTCGGTCTGTGGCTGCATGCTGAGGTGATTTCAAGAGGCAAACACTCACCAGAAATTAAAGATGTTGTTTAGTGCTTTTAAGAAATCCACACTGGCTTCTACCACCCAATTATTGCAGGTTTTAGTTCATCAAATTCACTTTTTACTCCATTTTTGGCGAAAACATCACGATTAACGCGATACTATTTGGACAAAATTGAAGATCCTTTTTTGGTACTGTATATTTTAAGGAAATGGGGTCTTCTAAAGCGATTTAATTTTGCATTTGAGAGGCAAAAATAGCACAAAAGACGTATCTGATGTTTGCTTTTAATATCCAGATTGATGTGAGGATATTCAGTCATAAAAAAAAAAAGATAAAAATGTCTCTTTGACGAGAAAGTAGAAGCTGTGTTACTCTATTATATCTACTGTCTGATAATAATGTTTTGCCTTTTTCTTTGTCGTGCAAACTCCCACCAAAACCCGAGCTAGTTTGAGATCATATCGAGGTAATGAAATATTATAAACTTCTGCTTTTTTCATGTAAAGAGTTTCTTTCTAGAGCAAAGTCATGACATGCTTTTATGGCTTTTGATCATTAAGAAAATATGGAGTTGTAACACTGAAATTCTTCGACTTTTTCAGGCGTTATTATCACCGTGAAAGCATCAGTTTGGGAGAAAATGGAGTTGGTATTCTTTTTAAAGCGCAAATAGTTTCAAGATACTATGAGTTCACTGAGACGAGATTTCTTTTCTTTTTTTTCAAGAAATCCATCAAAAAGTGACTTTTTTTTGCAGAGGTTGTCAAGGCTTAAGCTTTCTTCTTGTGGATTTAAGATACAAATGGATAGTAGGAGATAATATTCATCTTTTGTTGGGAGTAAAGGAACCTCAAAATAAAAGAGCGATTCCACAGAAAATAGACTTTGACTTGCTTTTGATGACACCAAATGGTTTTGGGTTGTTCTGGGGTGATGAGGAATTACGCTTTTTTTCCATTTTTTTGGTCAAAAAGTAGGATAAAAAGGGTTGATCTGAACAAATGTGAAAGATTTGAAACTCTTTGTATGACGACAAACTGTTCAAGGATATTAAGGGTCATCAAACTGAATTCTGAGAGTTTTTACAGGCCAAAAAAATGCCATTAAAGTCTGATTCTGGACCAAAAATAGAGTTGGATATGCTTTCTATGTTGCTACACGGTTTAAAGATACTTAAAATAAAATGATGTATTTTCGAAGGCACAGAAGAATCAAAAAGTGTCTTTTCAACACAATAACTCGACTCAGACATTGTCCACAAATACACATTGGTAAGAAACACAATTGAACCATAAAAAATAATATTCCTCAGCCTTTGTTGGGGAAAAAAATCACAATAAAGGTGCGAAATTGGAAAAGAAAACAGACTTGACTTGCTTTTCGATGTTACAGGATGGTTTAAAGATATCCTGAGGAGTTTTTGATCCTGAAAAATGCACAAACATGGTGTTGATTTGGACAAGAAAACAAAGCTAAGGCATATTTTTCTTAATGATATAAATTTTTTCTTTATGGGCAGCTCAGTTGTGATGGTTAAAGAGAGAGTTGAGGCCGGGGTCGAGGCTTTATGAGGTAAAAATGACATGATTGCAGCACTACACTGCACTTTTAAACAACAAAAACAAAATAGTTTTCTAATAAAACTGAGAAAACGATGTATTTGTTAATAAATTATGAAACTACAACACTAAACATCCTACAGGTGGACACGTACAGCTCTTTACTGAGCAGCTGTTTCTGTTATAGAGTAACATAAGAGTAGGAAAAATGCTCTAAATCTGGTCATGGTTGTATTTATTCTACAGTGGAGTCACAGGGAGGCCAGCTGTATCTGCAAGGCTCTTCTGTCACTCTGCATCCTGTCTCCTACCCTCCCTTCCTCGTCCCTTTCCCTCTCTCCCTGCTTCCTCTGCTCTATATTCCCAGAAACGTGAATCCCTGTCTGATCCCTCTGCAACATAAACCTCCTCTTTTCCCTCCTCCTTGGTAAAAACCTCTTTACTCCTGCTCTCCCGTCTAAGGCCCTTGTTTTGTGCAGAGGTCCTGACCCCTGCTGCCCTCCTGTTGACCTTTTCGCAGGTTAGCTCCTCTGTCAGTTGCAGCTGCGGTGCTGCGAAAAGCCCCGATAATCCAATCACACAGTCATTAGCGGCGAGGAGGCCTGAGCCGGAGCAGGTGAGTGTGTTTGTGTCACTCACCGCTTCATTATGTTTCTCTCTAACCTTTTCCTGCACTCTCTCTCTCTCTTTTGAATTAAGAAATCAGCTTTTACCTTTAAAATAATCCTACAAATGTCCCCTCACGCCACAGAAACACAGCTGATCAATCAACGTCTGCTCAGATGATTAAATCTGTACATGCAAAACGCTCCAGCATCATCATTCATCAGTTTTATTTCCACGCAGGTCTGAATGTAAATGAGGAAGGTGTTGCCAGGGATGAGCTTTTCTTCATCACGAGTATGTAAGGAGTCAAGTCAGATATATCAAAATTACACAGGATCAAGCGGAGATGTTTAGGAGTGAATGAAATCCTGATTGTTAATAACACTAAAGACCAATTAAAATTCTGAGAGGACGAGGGATGGTGCCCACGTCTTCTAATTTGAGGTTTTGTTCTTCTTCTACCTGCCTGTCACCATGGTGATGTTTCCGTCATCGTCACCGGAACCTGCCTAATCGATCGCCGTGAGAAAATATGAATCGAGTTTCAGTACTCGAGTATAAAACTCATGGACTTGGCTCAAAACTTTTCTGCCTTTACTGCATCATCCAATTTGGAATCCTTACATGTATTTCATTAAAAATGTCCATATTTACCAAATATCAAAGCATGTCAAGATTAAAACTTTTTCGTTAAGAATCACATATTTCATTTAATGTACTTATTCAGTCACAAAATATGCAATTTAATGTTTTTATACAGTCCAAAGCAGACACACATCTATACATTTGATTACCTAGCTGTGTCAAATATTCAACCTGATCTGACCCATAAGAAATGCAATTAATTCTTCATAGCAACAGCCATGCCAGGGACAACCTGATCACACATCTCAGATTAATGTTAGGGAAGGAGTCCAGGAAATTTCACTTTTATCTTTTGACAGTGTGGCAAAAATGTTATTTTTTTGTCTCAGGGCGCTCATGAAGGTGAAATAATGGCTGTCACCACACGTGAAAGACCATCTCTGATAATGAGACGCTGTCCTGCATGACTGGTGAGTGCATCTCTGAGTTGTCGATTGCTGTAAGTCACTTAAACCATGAGCACTAACGCAACAATACTGAAAGTTTTATTGTTGTCTCATTATATCTAAAGGTGTGTCAGACGGAGAGCTGGACGAGGACTGATGTATAACCTGCAAACTTCCTGTTCAGTTTTTGTAAAGTTATTTTTTAATACATGTTCATTTTTACGGTGAATTATAACAATTGGACAAGCAAATAATTGAACTTGATTGTTACTTGACTGTCAGTTTAATGTGAATTGATCTCATAAGTAGCCTGATAATAAGCTGTTGCCATAGAAGTGTTACTGACTGTTAAATTGGAGGGACTATCTGAATTAAACAGTACAAAACAAAGCTTTTCCTGTGTTTTATTCATCAAGAGATCAGGCACTTCATTCTTTCAAAATAAAACCAAATATTTATGAATTTATCATGATGTTGTCCGGTAAGTCTTTACCAAACGAGTGCAGTTTAGAGGACATTTAGCTGTTTAAAAAAGTGAATAGCTAAAAAATGTAAGTAAAGTTTATATCAATATCTGCTTTAATCTTGCTGGATTAATTTATTAACGTGTTAGTTTCAATATCTGTCGAGTAAAACCGTTTTTTAGCTTCACAGGTAAACAATTTTGGTAATAATACGATAATACGTTCCCATAGATCCATTATTACTTCCGGGAAAGATTCCTGGTAATAAGAAGAAAGATAAGATAAGAAATGTATTGATCTCTGAAGGGAAAATTTAATAATTATCAATTATTATCGGTTATAAATCATGAAATTCAGTGTAATTATCGATAAAGTACAGAAAAAAAATCTACCGTTTTTTTTATTTAACGTCAGGACGCAACAACGTCTCATGTGACGCTGCCGTTGACCGTTTAACGAACGTTAGGTTCGTACAGATAGCTAGCCCGTGCTCACCGTGTGAAGAACCGTTAATCCTACAGGATAACGTCTGTTTGTTACTTTATGTGTCAAAAAGTTTAGATAAGTGTCTCACGTCGACATATATGGCTTGTTTATGTACCACGCGACTTTCGTAGACGATTGAACACCGACACGTGACACTCCTATCACGTTCGTATTGGAGTCGTCGAGTGTAGGTGCTAATTGAAGCTAGCGCCGAAGACGCTAACGTGAGACTGGACGTCGCTGTGCCGAACATGGAGGAGAATAAGGACGGCGAGGAGGATGTTTAAGAAGAGAGCGGCCTGAAAAAGCTGCGGGACTCGGTAAGTATGGTTTTGGGCTGACTGTGTGAGTTTATTTAGCGATGTTTGCGATGTCACGTTTTTGAGCCACGTGACGTTTCCCTCGGGCTAACTTTAGCTATCATGTTCGATTGCGTCATCTGACAGAGGATAGCGATAAGCGCTACTATAGTTAATGTCTCTGAAAATAAGGTGTGTTTTTGTGTTAACTGCAACATTTTATGAGAGATTTAAGGGAAAAAAATCAAATAATACTCCTGGCGGAAATTATTTCTTTATTTTACACCACCACCTGTTTCATTTGCATTTCGCATGCGCATAATTGCTTGGAAGCACATCCCGTCAGGTAGCGCCTATTACTGCCCTCTAGCGTAAGTTTTGCGGAGCTGTTGTTCTAATAATTTCACGTGTATTTGCTTTCTTATAAATGTATGTTGATACTCTGCCTCGTGATGCTGCCATTTATTTTGACCTTAGTAACTGCTTTATCTTATATAGTGAGAAGTTGGTTTTTCTTTATTTATCTGCTCTGTTGTGATGTGCTTCTGTGTGAATAATCATTAGCCCTTGCTGTTCAGTATTCACTCCTGTATATAACTTATCTGAGCGCTGCTCCCAGCAGTGGATCTGAATAAATTCCAGCCCTCTTGTGCTTCAAAGAGGCTATACCCTACCACAGTATACAGTGTATAGAGCAGGAGTGGAAGCAGAGTGTGTGTTATGTTTAGCATTTGGTTTACTGAATTTGGCAACACACTCTGTGATAATAATAACTACACTACACATGTCACAGAAGGTCTTCTGGATTGCTAAACAGTAAAAATACACTGAAAACATACTCCTGAAAGCAGACAAAATTTATCTCCCCAGTATTTCCATAGCAATACAAGTCAGGATGGCCGAGCGGTCTAAGGCGCTGCGTTCAGGTCGCAGTCTCCCCTGGAGGCGTGGGTTCGAATCCCACTTCTGACATCACACTTTTTTCGGACTCGCTAACCGACATATGTTTACTGTAAATATGATATTTTACGCTAAAATGTTTTTTTTTTTTTTTTTTTTAAATATAAGACTTTTATTTTGAAGGAAGCTTTAACCATAACATAACAGCCGCAGCTAAAAAGAGTTTTCGTTCCAGTGACCAAGCTGAGTATGGTGTAGGACTAATAATATTTTTTAAAATTAATCAACAAAGGTGGTCTCTACAGCTGTGATTTATCAAGTACTATATTTATTTTATGAAAAAATTAGTTATACTAACCAGAACTGAAACCTGTGAGACAAATCAGTATCCAAGTCATCTGACATGTCTGCATAATAACAACTTCCAGCATTTTAGAAGAAATACCCCTGTTTAGTGTATACAAGCAGCTCACAAACATGTAGTAGGAGGGTTCTAACACTCTATAATGTGTTAAAAACTCAGCGTTGAGGGTTAATTATCCGCGTTTACCATCTAGAAATGAACAAGTTGTGTGTTTAGAGATTAACAACTCTAGACAATGGACTCTGACCTGCGTAACGGTCAATAGAGCTGAGAAACATGGGTAAAATGGAGAAAATGTCTTTGCAACTACCCTTTTAACATCTCATGTCAGGATGGCCGAGCGGTCTAAGGCGCTGCGTTCAGGTCGCAGTCTCCCCTGGAGGCGTGGGTTCGAATCCCACTTCTGACATCAACCTTTTGTGGGGCACCGGGCTCAGCGGGGCTAACACCATTCTCATGCTAATCCTCCCCCGAATGACTTCATTTACTCCCCCGACACCACCGTGAAGCTGCCAGTATCTCTGTGATTTCCTCTCAGATGGAAGCTGTTCTTTTTAGTTCACAGACTTCTGAGTTTCAAGGAGCATGTGTGACTTCCTGTAGCCGAACTCTAACAAATGGTTGTGGCTAAAAATAGATCTCTGCTGCAGCACATAAAGCTGTAAAAATGTCCATGTACTGGTAGATACTATTTTAACAGTGAAGGTGGATTATTGTCACAAGTTAATTTATATTTCTATCTAAGCAGCACAAATAATAAGTTTATTAATATGAATTCACTTTCCCAACAAAGAGAAATAAATGGCGAACAGTTGTAGAAAAACGTGACTGTTTAAATTTTAAAAAAGAGAAAGAAAAAATTAAAGCTCCTGTGAGGAATTTCCAGGTTCTGTTAACTTTGGCACCCCCTGTGGACAAAGTAATAATTGCTTTTTTTCTTCACTACTCGGTTGAATGGTGATTGTAATAATAACTCTCATACTGTTGATATTAGACAGTGAAATCTAGTATACTGTGAATATTTTGGTGACACCTACCCCCTCACATCGGTCTTGGGCGTTAAAGTTAAGGTTAAAAAAAATATCAGACTTGCTGCTGATGATCATTTTTACTTTTTGATATCATGAAAAGGCAAAAATGTGAATTCTAGTGTATCTCATAAAAGAAAAAATACTACCCCACATGAGCTTTAAATAGTCAAAAATGACATTAAAAACTCACCTCTGTGGCCTGTAGGTAGTCTTCTGTAAACACACTGTGTCAATAAACATACCAGCATATTTAAAGAAAACAGCCACTTTCTAAAATCCTACAAAAATTCTCTCTCAAATTGGGATTTTTTTGTCACAAACTGCCTCGTCCACTGACATAGATAACTTTTTTTAATCCTGTAATGTACTGACAGATTTAAAGAATGAAACGAAACAGAGTTTGATAAAGGCCAAAGAGCCAGTGAGACCCACAACCCGCCATGTTTATAGTCTTTGAGTTTAACCAAAAATAAACCCTGCTGGCTCTCTAATCTGTCTCCACTTAAGCAGAATTCAAAGACGCAGTATTAATGAGGACGGCTCAGAGAGACACCAGACAACAGCTAATGTTAAGTGACAATTTCACCTTTATTAAGATGGTGAAGAATCATTAGTAAAGGTCAGGGTGACAGAGGGAGGAGGCTGTGGAGCTCAGGTGGTGCCTTAAAGAGAGCAGCACAGTGTGAGAAAAGACTCATTAAATACAAGGACGCCGCCGCGCTCTGCAGCGCCAGCTGTACAGACTTCAGGTGCACGGATAAAGTCGCATAAAATCAGATCCACGCGCAATTAAACTTCTGAAAAGGAAATCATGAATCAGTGTTGGTGCTCTGCATTTCAGCCAGTATCACTATTTAACTTTAAAATCATGACAGTATCATGAGGTCGCTTTGTTCTCAGTAGATAAAGACTTTTTCAAATTCATAGTTACAAAGCATTCAGATTTTTTTTAACCCCTCAAAGGACATTTGTGTGATCGTGATGCTCAGGCATAATGTTCATTTCTGTTAAAAGAGCTCTTAATGTCTTAACTTACGTTGCACATTTCCGGTCCGGTCTCATCTGGAGACATGCAGCTGCCTCAGTAAGAGAAGTCGCTCGATCACATAATATGTACTGTTGTTTATTCTACCGTTACTGGCACGGCTAACAGTGTAGCAAGGCTAATAGCAGGTGGCTAACTCTAACTTTAGCTTGCATATTACATGGTGCTTCGCCGCTAACTCGGCGTGACCAAGACCAGCACAGCGGGGAACATCGTGAAGTGAGTTGAACTGAAACTTGTTGACTTCTTGTGTATTTCACAAACTGGTTTATTTACCGTTAAGGCGGACCACTCTCCTCCTTACGTCCCTGAGCTGCCTGCTTTAGATCTGTCACTCTGCTGTGCTGTGAAGCAGTGTTGTTTTCGTTGACGATGACGATGACGTCATTGTCAACGAAAACAGCACTGCAGAATATATGTTTAGCGTTTGACTGATGAAGTGCTCATGAATTTGGCAACTCTTTTAGTCGTCCACCACTGACGTTTTCGTGACATGTTAGTCGTCTAAGACTTATGTTTAGCTCGTCTTCGTCGTGGAAAAAAAGGGGCGTTGACGAAATATTTTCGTCAGCAAAAACAACACTGCTGTGAGGTAGTTGGTGGATGAAGATTGTCATAAGGTCGCTGCGCCATCTACAGGGTAAGTCAGGGATCTTAAAGTGAAACCAAATCTTATTCTCCGCATTTTATTTCTGAAAATATTGGTGATAATCGGCGAGTTTTGGCCGATTACAGATTAGTCTCAAACTAGCTAAAATTGGCCGATTTAATTGGTTCGCCGATAAATCGGTCGGGCCCTACATTTAAGGGACATTGCTGTTAGCTCTTGGTACCTATTTGGGAGTTTTGCATGTCTTTTTTGTGTCTTTGTTGACGTTTTATGGTTAGTTTGGTTCATGGTTTTTGTTTAACTTGTTATTGATGGTTTGTGTCCTTCGGTGGTGATTTAATTGACTTTCTAACAAGTTTAAGATCGTCTTGATTCAGAGCAACACGGACAAGTCACAACATTGTGACATGACAACAGTGGCCTTATCCTTTCATGGTTCTGTTCTCCATCTGGCCTCCTGTTTGTCCTCACAAGCTAAAGCCTGTTAAATCAGCTCTAAGAGTTAAACACACGCAGCCCCGATCAATCTCTCTGTGTCCTCCTGGACTCGAGAAGAGCAGGTGAATAAATAAAGGACGCTTTTAAATCATTCATACCAGAGGAATGTGTGTCATCAGCATCATCTCTGCCACCCGTCTTCATCATCTCCTGAATTATCACCTCCTGTTTGGTTCCCGTGGCAGGTCTGATGTCTCAGAGGTCGTGAACTCTGAGCACCGATGCTAATAGAGGAGTGAGAGCAGCTTCGCCTTCAGCCCGGCTGCCTGAGTGACATTGATCTTGCAGCGGAGAGACAGAGTCATCCTTGGAGACCATAAACATATTCCTCTTCTCACTGTCAGCGAAGGGGGTAAAAGTTCAAACACCTCATCCTCTGACTCACCCCTAAAAATCTCACAGAAGATATCCTGAATGTAATCAAAACTCCATGTTCGATTAAGGACAGATGATGTTTTTTTTAAGGAGTTCCTCTTTTGTAGAAGCGGGGGAGGGTTTTAGCAGAAAGGCCTACTTCTCCCTCCATAAAGGGTTTGTGTTTGTTCCTGAAGGCGTCATTTAAACTAGTTTACTGAGGAGCCAGAATAACCGAGGGAAAGATGTGGGTGCCAGAGGAGGACGGCATGGCTGCAGGTAAGGCATCAGGGTGTGGGGTTCAACTGAATATGTGACGTCTGTTCTAGTCAAATGAAGTCCAACATAATCAAATTGTGGGCTTGTAAGTTTGAAATACTCAGAAACATGATTTAAATCAAAGGATGAAATTTGTTGTGTATTTTTAGTGTCACACAAAAATCCAAACATTTGGAAGGTGTCATGAGCAGGAATGTTTTAAATATGATCACTTTTCACGAAGAAAACTCACTTTCTACCACGAGGAACTGAAAACTCCTTATTTGTGGAACTGCCTCGAGAATGAAACACCCTTTTGTTAGAAACGCCACTGATTTCACTTCCTGTTTTACCTCCTTCACGAGGTCCCTGAAGGTTCCTCTTGCTTCCCCTCTGATCATGTTTGATTTCATGTTTCTGTTTGTTAATCTTTTTCTTTCTTTCTTTCTTTCCTTTTTTCTTTTTCCTTCTTTCTTTTTCTTTGTTTTTGTCTTTTCATTTCTTTTTTTTACTTCTTTCCTTATTTCGTTTTCTTTCTTTCCTTTTTTCTCTCTCTTTTCATTCCTTGTCTTTTGCTTTCTTTTTTCTTTTTTCTCTCTTTTGTTTTCTTTGTTTCTCTTTCCTTCTTTCTTTGTCTTTTTTCTGTTTTCTTTCTCTTTCTTTACTTTTTTCTCTTTCCCTTTGTCTCCTTTCTTTTTTCCTTCTTTTTTTCTTCCTTTCTCTCCTTTTTCTTCTTCTTTTTCCCTTCTTTCTTTTTCTAGTTTTGTTTTCTTTTTCATTTCTTTTATTACCTCTTTCTCTTTATTTTTTTCTTTCTGTCCTACTGTCTTTTTTTCTTTCCTTTTTCCTTTTTTCTTTCCTTTTCCTTTTTTCTTTCTTTCTCTCTTTCTTAATTTTTTCTTCTTTCTGTCCTCTTTTTCTTTTTCTTTTTTCTTTCTCTTTTCTTCTTTCTTTTTCTTTTCTTTCTTTTTTGTTTCTCTTTACTTTTTTCTTTACTTTTTTCTTTTTCTTTCTTTTCTTCTTTCTTTCTTCTTTTATTTTTTCTACTTTCTTTTTCTGATTCTCTTTCTTTCTTTCTTTCTTTCTTTCTACCTTCCCTCTTTTTGGTGTCAGTAAATTTTCCTGTTTCCCCTCCCACAGAGTCTGATGAAGAGAGCGGTTTATCTTTCTTTCTTTCGTTCCTTCTTTTTGGTGTCAGTAAATTTCTCCTGTTTTCCCTCCCACAGAGTCTGATGAAGAGAGCGGTTTATCCTCTGAAGATGAAGATGATGAGGGAGACATTCAGGTATCAGCAGAAGTGACAGGCCGTGAATGACTTCTTAATTTATGTCGTTTTCTGACACATCTCTGAGGAAACACTGATTATCGTGCTCCGGCAGATGTCAATCAACTTTGACCATGTAATGAAAAAAATGATTCATGAAAAAAAGAGACAGGCGCTGGTAGAAAAATCACAGAGACTTAATCACGCTGTTGAACTCAAGTCAAAAGGTGAAAATGGGAGGAAATGACAGTTAGGTGTACGACTTTGATTACATCAACAAGAGAACTGCTTTTTTTAATGCCTCAGCCTTCTGATTCATATGTGGATTCAATCAATTAAATTCATCGACAGTCTAATTTTGTTTTGCTCATTGTTGATTCGTTTTGTTGATGTTTGATCTGAAGTATGAGATCCTGGAGAAGCAGAGGGATGAAGCCAATCAGAGACTGTCTGAGCTGGAGGAAGGTGAGAACCAAACCTGCTGGTTCTCATTAAAGACCAAAAACAGGCTTTTAGGTTTCTCCAGAGGTTCTCTTCCATCAGTTTCTCTGATGGTTAAAATGAGGTTAACAGGAAGAGCTAACAGCACTTTATGGTTTCAGCCTCCAGTCAGCTCCTCAAGGAAATCAATGTTCTGGAGATCCAGTTTCAGATCGAACGCTCCTGCAGGGAGAACGCCGAGGCTTTGGCTGTAAAAGTACGTCACTGAACCACCACTCTATTAATTTTTTCTTTCTTTCTTTCTTTCTTTACTCATTTATTTCTTTTTCATTTCTTTCTTTCTATCTATTTATATCTTTCTTTCTTTTTCTATCTTTTTGTCTTTCTTCCGTCTTTCAATTTCTTTTTTCTTTATTTCTTTCTCTCTTTTAGTCTGTCTTTCTTTTCATTTCATTTCTTTCTTTCTTTGTCTCTATCTTTCTTTTAGTTTTTCTTTTCTTTTCATTTCTTTGCTTTTTTCTTTCTTTTTTTCTTTCCTCATTTATTTCTTTTTCATTTCTTTCTTTCTTCCGTTCTGTCTCTTTCTTTCTGTCTTTCCTTTTCTATCTTTTCTTTCCTTCTTTCAATTTCTTTCTTTCTTTCTCTTTCTTTCTTTCTTTTTGTCTTTCTTTCTCTATTCCTTTTTCATTTCTTTCTTTCTTTCTTTCTTCTTTCTTTTTTCCTTTCTTTCTTTCCGTCTCTTTCTTTTCTTTCATTGTTTCTGTCTTTTCTTTTTCTATATTTCTCCTTCTTTCTTTCTTCTTAAATTTCTTTTCTCTTTCTTTCTTTCTTTCTTTCTCTCTTTTAGTCTGTCTTTCATTTCTTTTCTTTCTTCCTTTCTTTCTTTCTTTCTTTCTTTCTTTCTTTCTTTGTTTCTCTCTTTTAGTCGGTCTCTTTCTTTTAGTTCTTTCTTTTCATTTCTTTCTTTTAGTTTTCTTTCTTGTCTTTTCTTTCTTTCTTTCTTTCTTTCTTTTCTGTCTTCCTTCTTTCCTTCCTTCATTCCTTCTTTCCTTCCCTCCTTATGCAGGTAGTTTTTCCACAAATTGTCCCTCTAAGAACTCACCTTCCCTACCTCTAAATGCTTATTTGAAGGGGATGAACTGATAAAAGATTCCACCCTCCCTGTCCTCCAGACTCACCATCATTTCCTCCGTTGCCTAGGTGACCAAAGAAAACAAAGTCCTGAAGAGGAGGAGTCAGATGCTGATGCCGCTCATCCCTGAGTTGCCTGAAAACTTGGCTGCCGTGACCTTTGACGCAGAGACCGACCCTGTTGTCGGCGGTGACGAGGTCGATGTGGGAGTGGGGAGCAGCGAGGAGACGCTGCTGCTGGAGAGTCAAGCTAAAATCACAGGTTAATAAACGGGATGATGTCAAATGTACAGCAAAGAAAAAAGACTGTGGTATTTAATTTAATGGTGTGTGTGTGTGTGTGTCAGAGCTTCAGGCATCTGTCGATGGTCTCCTGGCTGAGAAGTTACAGCTGGAGCAACAAGTAGAAGATCTGACCAAAGAGCAGGTTCAACTCAGAGAGCAGGTACAGCAGCGTACGTGTGTATCTGTGTGAATGTTTACATGTATATGAGTGTGTATGCGTTACTTACCTCCTAACACTCTCTCTCTCTCTCTCAGCTGGCACTGGAGATGGAGGAGAAGGAGGCCATACTGAGGAGTATGACCAAACAGAGCAAAACCATGAACAAAATCAAAAGAGGTGAGTCGTCCGTTTGTTTCTGCTGCAGCTGATCATTTTCTTCAGGGGTTGATCTGGAAATTTCCACTCAAGATTTAATAACTGAAGCAGAAGGAACAGTGGTGTGCTGTACACCTTCAGGGGTCTAGTGGAGTCCTGCTGGGTGTATTTGCATGTATATTAGCATCATCCTGTCTTCTTGGTCATGATAAAATCTCTTGAATCAGTTTTTTTATTTAAAAAACAACAAAAAAAAAAGAAAGTGAGGAGAGTTTCCCTCAAAGCCGCTAAATCTCGTCTTTGTACGTTTCTGGACCTTCACAGTCTCCCAGCTTGTCAACGAGGAGTTCACAGAGATGTCTCAGAAGCTGGAGCTGGAGCAGGGCCTGCGGGCGCACGCTGAAGTCTTCGCCCACCAGGTGTGAGCGCACGCCCCCGTGCACAGATATATGTGTGTGTGTGAGGTGTATATGTGTGCGTTTTCTGCCCAAAACATTTTGTCAAACATTCACACCTATGGACACTGAGGGTGACAGGTCGTGCCACGGAAAGGGAGCGGGAGTGTCGACGCTGACCTTCCGGCGGGTACGGGCAAGACACAGGCGCGAGGAGGGGAGGGAGGGCTCGCACACGCACACACACACACACACACACTCTCTTACACACACACATACGCAGCGCTGTCAGAGTGCAGCTGATGTGCTGGGACAGGAGAAGGGGTCTCCATTCTCTGTTTTCACACTGATGACACTTTGGTCAAACCCGGGCTGTCTGTTTGAGGTGAGATGTTCACACACACACAGACACACACAGACAGACACAAAACAAAGGCCGACACACACACACACACGCTCCGGAAAAACACCAATTCACTCCAAGTCCACAAACCCAAACACTCACACACACACGACACAGTCCTCCTGCCCCAGCTGCTCCCATAATGAAGGCCTTTCCTTTCAAAAAAACACCTCTCTGTCCCCTTCCCGTCCCATTTAGCCCCTCCCTCTCCTGTAATTAGCGGTCATCACGGCCGCTAGAGGAGAATAGTGGTCTTTAAACACAACCTGTCTTTGCCTGACACCTTTATGTTGCGCCGAGCATACAGCAATTGTCGCCTTTGTGCGCGGTGTCCTCCATTTACCGGACAGGCGCACAATGGGCCTCCTCGCAGGGGTCCTTACCTGTGAAAAGGACCCCCAACCGCTCACACAATTCAGCCCCTTTTACTCTCAATTCACGGTAAAAGACCCCCCTGTGCTGAATGCCTCTTGTATGCACTACTATTTGTCTGTTTTCATGTGTTTTGAAAACACCAACCATTCACACCTCTCCTCTGTGATGCGTGCTGGTATAATGACGCCAGGCCTCAAACAGGAAACAATTTGGACCTTTTTTTTTTTTTTTTTTTTCCTCCTGTGTGTGTGTGTCTTTGTCTCTTTGTATAGCAGTGTGCAGCCGGGGCTGTGTGTTTGTGTGTATGAAATAATTGTGCTAATTGATGTGTGAAAATTGCTCCCTGCTTAATAAGGGAGAGGGGAGATCAGAGCAGAGCGGGTTTCTGAATGCGTCGGCTGACACGGAGCTCAATAAAACCCGCAGCCCCCGGTTTGTTCTCACAGGAGGAAACGAGGATATGAAAACCATTTTTCCTCACACTTCCTGTCCTGACATTTCAAATATGTGCGCACAGTTTGTCGGAGACACGGAGGTCACGTTTCATTTCCTATTAGTGCAGTAAAGAGGGTTTTATGACTGCAAATGCAGATAGATTACACAGGATGGATTTTACTGCAAACGTTGAGGGTTATTTTAAATTTTTCTCATCCTCTTTATCGGAAAAATTCACATTTCGAGTTGCATCCCTTTTTTTAGCCTGCTTTTGATTTATCATTCGGCACTGAGGCGAGCAAAACGCACACTCTCAGTGGTGTTTGATTGAAAACAGAAATGACAGGTTAAAGATATATCTGTGCATCAGTCTCACCTCTGTCCTAGGGATGCACCGATATGATGTTTGATATTGGTATCAGTCCCAATACTGACCAAAATTCTAGATCGGGTATCGTGACAATGGGCCCGATGCATAGGAGTAAGCGCTGTTTAGGTTTTGCGGAGCGGAAAAAATAATTGATAAGAGGGGAATGTCTGAAAACGTGTTTCTGGTCCGAGTTTGATCGGTCTTCCTGTCGGCATGAAGAGCAGTAGCCTACAGTATATCTACAGTATATATATGTATTTTTTATAACTTAATAAAAAATTTAAAAAATCGGCAGATTAATCGGATTTTACCGATTATCGGCCCCAAAAAATCCATATTGGTTGGGGCCTCCTTTGCACACTTCTCTTCACGCTAGCTAACATCCTTCAGCTCTCGGACACTAATGTCTTTAGGGGCATGATGAAAGTTAATATCATTATTAGCTTTCTTACGAGCATTGCAATCCGCTAACGCACACACTTGTCTCCCAGTCTGGCTATAGGAAATCTATCTTTATGTGAGTCTGCCGTTTGGGTCCAATTACTCGAGTAATCAATAGAATATTCGGCAGAATACTTGATTACTAAAATATCCGATAGCTGCAGCTCGAACCTCAACATACAAGCTCGACGGCCACTTGCAATACCTGCGCAGAAAATGTTCCGAGTGGCAGTAGCAAAATTTGAGTGCGGCTTTTCTGTATCAGAATTGGATCAGTATCGGACAATTTTAAACTGTAGATATCTGTATCAGTATAGGAGGTGGGAAAAGCGGATCGTGCATCCCTACTCTGTCCATCTGCATCTCTCTCTGTAAACCCGGTGCTGCAGCGGTAGATTACTGTCTAGCATGAGTCTGGTTCTCCTCGAGGTTTCTGCCTGTTAAGAGGAAGTTTCCCTCCTCTCTAAATGAGTCATGGCAGGAAACGTTGAGGAACCACTGGGCTAAGGAGATAAAGTCCCAGTTTTTTACCTTCTTTTACAGTACGTGCAAAAGAGTGAAAAGTTTATCGAAGGCACTTTGTCCACAATTTAAAGTCAAAGCTTGATTTTCTTTTAGTCACAGGATAAGAAAAATCAAGACTAAGCGTCACTTTGTCCCTTTTAGTCCAATTATCTTGTTGTTAGGAAAATCGCTCTTTGTCTTAAAGCTAATTCTTCCCATCTGCTTTGTTCACTCCCTCTTAATAAAACTGTGAAGTTACTCGAACACGCTGCCCGTGTTTTTGTTCTAGTCTGAAGACGTTGGATTGTGACAGCCTCCTGGGGGAGAAAATTAACGACCACTCACTTAGTTTCTCCTTTTAATTGAGCCTCGCTGTCTTTGCTTGTTGTGTTTCCTTTTGGATAATCAGACGGGCTGATTCAAGAAGTCAGAAATGTGAACTTGATTTCTTTTGTCTTGTTAGATGTTGGTGCAGCAGACGGAGGGCCGCAGTCAGTGTGTGATGTTGATGCAGAGCCCGGAGACCGGCCTGCAGCTGAAGCAGGCGCTGGAGCAGATCTCCACCATCAGCACCGCCCTGACGGACATCCAGAGCTGTTACCTCGAGCAGGTGTGTGTCTAAATGTGACCGAAAGAAGCGAAAATAGCGCTCGCTACTTCTACTTGTTATATCCTGCTGTTTCTTTTAGTTAAAACAGAGTCAGAGCCCGCTGGAGGAGAGGAAGGAGGTCTCTGAGCTACAGGAGCTGAAGGAGCAGCTGGAGAGGAGCGAGGAGGAGAGGAAGGCCGTGGAAACTCAGCTGACTGAGTCCACGAACACTGTCACTCAACTCCAGCAGGAGGGTAAACAACTATTTCCTGCTAATTTCCTCCTCGTTTTTATCAGTTATGTGGATTAAATCGTCTTTTCTTTTGGTTTTTGTTTTCAGTGAAACATTTACAGGAGAAGTTGGACAGTGAGGACAAAATCAAGGAGCCAGCAGCAGCAACAACTCCTGCTCCACCTCCACCTCCTCCTCCTCCGCCTCCTCCTCCACCACCTCTCACTTCTGTCACCAAGTATGTTAAACTGAAGCGAGAGTTCATTGAATTATTAAAGCAAGAGTTTCTAGAGATGTTGGAGTACATGATACAGTTTCAGTAAAGTGACTCACATGACTCATCTTTCTCTCTTTTTCTCTGTTCTGTTTTAAGCTCGCTTGATTTCCTGAGAAGCAGGAGAAAAGGTGGAGCCGGTAAAACCGATCAGAACAGTGAGTCTGACACTTGTCGTTCACCTCAGAGATGAATCCTCAACAGTAAAATGCTGAAATACAAAAATGAGTCATTTGGCGACTTTGAAAAATGTGACTTGTTTTCGATCTTGAAGAAGCAGCTCCTGTAGCGGACATGAAGGCGAAAGCAGTGGATGAAATGATGGCGAGAATAAAGCAAGGAATCGTCCTCAGGCCCATCAAGAAAACTCAGGTAGACACAGTTTCTTTCTTTGTGAAAATACAGACAATAAAAGAAAAACTCTGACGACTACTGCCTCTGTTTACAGGAGGACGACAGCTCATGGAAGGTCAGTTTTTATTCCTTTTTTCTCTCATCATAAAACAGTCGAGAAAGTCACTGAGTCCTTCTAACAAAGTCTCAAATCACCCTGCAGGACCAGAGGACTGAAAACAGAAAATCAGCCATACACGAGCTGAAAGGGATGCTGGTATGACACCTGAATCTTACATTCTTGGCTCCAAGGCCAAACTCTTGAGCAATAATCGCCAACAAACGGGGTTTGATGAAGTTAAAGGGATATTCCGTCGTAAAATTAAGTTAGGGTCAAACACACCGTATCAAGAGATGAATGTTGCTGACCGCTTGCTTCTCTAGTTATACCAACTTTAGTAAGCATGATAGCAATACACAGTGGTCCAAGGGTCCCCGCACAAACCCCAACCTAAAAGCCACTCTGTAGCCACAAATGATGCTCAGAACAGCACTTACCGTATTTTTCGCACTATAAGATGCACCAGATTATAAAGTGCATTATGCCTAACAAAACAGATAAATCAAACTTTATTTAACTCATTCAATAACTCCTTGAGGCTACGGTAGCTGCAGTGCTCCAACAAGCCAAAAGGATTTTAAGTGCGCCTTATAGTGCGAAAAATATGGTAACTTCTTCAACAGTTCATATAGGGTCTCAGCCACAGCACTAACCACCAAACATCTTTTTAACTTTGTCATATTTCAAAGAGAAAGACAGCAAAGAGACTAAACACAACTCACCTACTCTCTTCCAGCAGCCACTTATTCGCAGCAAGACCTCAGGCCAGTCCATTATGGACTACATTGGAGTTTCGCAGCTCAAGGAAGAACATTTATGATTACTTCATGGAAATGCAATCAGACCGAGATGCTAAGGCAGAAGAACTACCGTGTCTGCAGTGCAAAATGATTAATATGGTGATTATTACTTCAAGGAAATGATAAAGAAATGATCATAAATGTTCTTCCTTGAGCTGCGAAACTCCACTGTAGTCCGGATTGGCCCAAGGTCTCACTACAAACAAGCAGCTGCTGGAAGAGAGTAGGTGAGTTGTGTTTAGTCTCTTTGCCAAAGAAATCAGGCAAAGTTAAAAAGATGTTTGGTGGCTAGTACTATGGCTGGGACCCTGTATGTACTGTTGATGAAGTTAGGTGCTGTTCTGAGCATTATTTGTGGCTATAAAGTGGCGTTTTGGTTGAGCGCGTGGCTCTCTGTATTGCTGTCGTGTGGTAGTTACTAAAATTGGTATAACTAGAGAAGCAAGCAGTTGGCAACATTCATCTCTTGATATGGTGTGTTTGACCCTAACTTAATTTTACACCAGAATATCCCTTTAAGCAGCTGTGTTTTCAAACATCTTTTCACATCAGGACAACATGAAACGTCAGCCCCAACGCAGGCTGTCATCGAGAAGAGGGACGGGACGACAGGTCGGGGAAGTGGAGCTCATGCAGGTGCTCCAGAGGAGGAGGAGGGCGATCGGGGAGAACAGAGACATGCTCCCTTCAACACAAACATCAGGTACACTCAAAGACAAACCGTGACGGTTGCCATATTTAAAATGTTGTATTAACTTTCACTCAACCTGAGGCCTTAAAATGTTCCGATCTCTCGGTCAGACCCTCAGCCAGGTCAACAGAGCGTCCCGGCTGCAGCTGAAGACGTTCCCTGGGCAGGTGAGATGGGCAGCGCCCCCGTTCTCCGGAGGCTGAGACAGAACCGAGAGAAGAGAGACTCTCGCATCAGAGCGTCAGCGCTGATAATGGGTCAAGAAAACTGAGAGGAGAAAACCTCGACATCAGCACCACTGTTGTCTGATTCTGTCTCTGTTTGATACTGAAGATGACTTTGATAATTAAACTGAACCTGAAAAAACTGATTTCACTTTCATTTTAACTTCACAGGATCCAGATAGACGCTCTGTTTTTCAGATTTCTTATTCAAAGCTGAAGAAAAAGCGTTTTTTTCAGACACCATTAAACCCCGATCCGCTCCAGACGGCCTGGACTTGTTGCGTGTGAAGAGAAATAAAACCCAGTCAGCCGTGTTTAACCCTGAACACGGCTCTACTTTGAATGCCTGGGTCGGAGTTGATCTAAGTGCGAGTTACAGGATTTTTTTATGCTACAGAATACAGATAGAAAAAAAAAGAGAAAACCACTTAGGTTATACGAATGCCCTCATCCACTTTTCTCCTGAGGCGTCTTCCTCTTAAAGCTCGATCCAGCAGAAAGAGAAAGGCGGCCATTTTTTTTTCAGCACATTAAAGCTCTCACACCTGGGGCCCAGAGGTGTTGTTGAGATAAGAGCCTCAGGTGATCTGTGGCCCTCCTCATGAAAGTATCTTTAAATGCGGCAGGTCGCCTTTTGTTTTCTCACCTCCACAGAGAAACTGTATATCTGCATGCATGGATGACCTCGTGCACCGCACCCTCGCGCCACGCCATCCATCCACCTGCATCTCAGCCTCTGGTAAAAGTGTTTGAAAAAGGGGGGATGAGATTACTCTCACCTTTGACTCTGACACCATTTTAGTTTCTTCACACTGTTTCACATTATATATTTACTTTATTTAGCTCTTTATACAGGAGGTCCAGGCCTTTTCACTCCTCTGCATACATTTTTTATTGTTTTCCTCCTCGATCTCAGAAGGTGTTAGCTTTTGGAAGGCGGTAATGTATTCTGCTCTGAATGTGTCATTTAACGAGTAACTGTGTGTGTGTCTGAGAAAGAGAGAGATGAGGACATAAGGATCATGATAGAAAGACAGAAGAGCCTGAAACTGATATTAGTTTCAAGACAACAAAGCAGTAAGTGGTGTTTTTCTCTGTTTGTAAATCAATGTGTGATATTTACCCACCAAAATGTTGAAAAGAAAGGCATTCTGGGAGAAAAGTGAGTTTGAAAATGATGGTATTTGTACATTATTAGTGTGTCGTAGCAATAGACAGTTACAGTTGATGTTTTCCAGCTCTTCTCCTGTCAGTGTCCTCTTTGGAGCTGAACCAACGTGTTTTCATCCTCTTTTTACTCAGATTTTCTCTTTCCATGCCTAGAGAAGATTTTCCCAAACTTTGGGTTGCAATCAGAATTGGGTCACCAGCTGTTTTTTTTTATTGGATTTACCCATTGGCAGAATAAGGTGTCTAATGGTTTAAGGAAAAAGTTACGTGCATGTAGATTTAAAGACAGGAAGGGTTAGTGTCCTGGGTCTAAATCAGAGTATGGTCGTGTCCGAATTAAGAACATCCATCTTCTATTTAAGTCCAACATGATGCTGTAATAATTGTTAAAACAGATAATGGAGAGGGTAAGTATTCTCAGTTTGTGTGTTTGCTGGCCACCCCTGCTTGGGTCTGAACTTCAGTTAAGCCACCCCCATTAAAAGCATGTGAACACGTCTCTTTTAGTCTCTTTTCTAAAGAAATCAGGCAAAGCCAAAAAGATGTTTGGTGGCTACTACTATGGATGGGACCCTGTATGTACTGTTGATGAAGTTAGGTGCTGTTCTGAGCCTTATTTTTGGCTTTAGCTGCTTTTTGGTTGAGGTTTGTTTATGGCTCCTCAGACCGCTGTGTATTGCTATCGTGCAGTCGTTACTAAAGTTGGTATAACTAGAGAAGAAAGCGGTCGGCAACATTCATCTCTCGAGGGGGTGTCTAACTCGGTGTTTTGGTGTGTTTCACCCTAAATTAATTTTACGTCAGAATACCCCTTTAACCTAGCAGTAAAAAACTGTGCTCAAGTTTCGCTCTGATGTCCAACATTAATTGTTTTCAAAATATATATATTTTTAAAAAGCGTAATAACACCTCTTTTATAAACTCAATAATATTAAACTTTACTTTGAGGAAGCGGCTAAATTTGCTGTTTTTGTTGTGTGATATCTGATTGAATATATGAGGCTCTGTAGTTCATGTGGAAGCTGTAGCAAACCGTCTACTGTGTAATTCAGTGTTTCTCCTCCAGCCACAGGCGGCGCTGTCGCTAAATCCCTCCCCTCTTTGCACTCGCGGCTCCCTCTTTTCCCCTGCTCTCTTCGGCGCGCGCTGGAAGTAGGGGAGGAACTTTGACCGGCGCTCCAGCTCCAGTTGCTAGTTAGCAGCAGCCAGCTAGCTCTTTTCCTGGACAGTTGTTTTTTTTCCTGTGTTTTGTGTGTCGTTTCATATGCAGAGAGATGTGGTTTATTTATTTACTCAGCTGGCTGTCGTTGGTGATCCAGATATCGTTCGTCACTCTCGCGATAGGTGAGTACACGCTGGGGGATGATGTGCAAACATAGCTGCTGGTTGCAATCTGCTGGCTAATGCTAGCGGACCATTTAATGAGGCATAATTATGTAATGTGGCAGCCTCTGAGTATCCAGAGCAGTTAGCGTGTAAATAAAGACACATGTAAGCGGTATATTTGTCCCAAAAAGATCCAGTATTTGTGGTTTATTTCTAATCCAAACGAGGCTAATGAGGGTCTCTAGGGTGTTTAGTTTGTTTGTATGAGACTAGACTGTAGCCTGAGGTCTAACCTGTACTGTGGAGTTGGAGTGAACACCTGGAAAGGAGCCAACCCCCTCCACGTTGACTGAAACTTACCTGTCCACGTAACACTTGCTGAAACAGTCAGGTGTGGCTCCTTACAGCTGAGACCTGATAGTAACTCTGCAGACAGTGTTAACTGAACTCTCACTACTCCTTTACAGTGTTTCTATCCTTTTATTATGAGTCTGCGATATTTGTACACACCGTGACCAAGATGTAAGGACCTAAATGTTTATGGTATCCTACCAGGTGAACATGGCAGAGTCACACAAAGTGAAAGTGAAAATGGACACGGGTGGAGATAGTGTAGCTCTGTGTGACTGTGTAGCTGAAACAAATGAGGATAGATGTTGAGATGCCTCCCTCTGGTAATAATTCAAGAACTTTAATGGTTTCTCTTTTACAATGAGTTATAAACCATTAAAGGGACATTCCGGCGTAACATTAATCTATGGTCAAACACCGAGTTAGACACCCCCTCAAGAGATAAATGTTGCCGACTGCTTGTTCCTCTAGTTATACCAACTTTAGTAACGACCGCACGATAGCAATACACAGTGGTCCCAGGAGCCATAAGCGAACCTCAACCAAAACACCACTCTATAGCCACAAATAATGCTCAGAACAGTACCTAACTTCATCAACAGTACATATAGGGTCCCAGCCATAGTACTAGCCACCAAATATCTTTTTAACTTTGCCTGATTTCTTTATCAAAGAGACTAAACACAACTCACCTACTCTCGTCCAGCAGCTACTTGTTTGTAGCGAGACCATTATGGATTACAGCGGAGTTTTGCAGCTCAAGGAAGAACATTTATGATAATTCATGAAAATGCTATCAGACCGAGAAGCTGGAGGCAGAAGAACTACCGCGTCTGCAGTGCAAAATGATTAATATGATTATCACTTCAAGGAAATAATTAAGAAATGATCATAAATGTTCTTCCTTGAGCTGCGTCACCCCACAGAAGCCTGTAATGGACTCTGTATAAACAAGCGGCTGCTGGAAGAGAGGAGGTGAGTTGGGTTTAGTCTCTTTGCTAAAGACATTAGGCAAAGTTGAAAAGATATTTGGTGGCTAGTACTATGGCTGGGACCCTATATGTACTGTTGATGAAGTTAGGTGCTGTTCTGAGCATTATTTGTGGCTATAGAGTGGCGTTTTGGTTGAGGTTTGTTTATGGCTCTTCAGACCGCTGTGTATTGCTATCCTGTGGTCGTTACTAAATATGGTATAACTAGAGAAGCAAGCGGTCGGCAACATTCACTTCTTGATATGGGGTGTCTAACTCAGTGTTACGGTGTGTTTGACCCTATCTTAATTTTACACCGGAATATCCCTTTAAATAGAGATCTCAAGTGTACCAATAACCCTTTTGTAAGCGTTTCCTCATTCTTTGTTGAGCTCACAAGCTGCTTTTTATTACAACAGCAGGATACTGGAGCCAGGTTTAGATGAATGAACCTGTGAAGCCTCTGAGTGCCTCGAACCTACTTTGTTAAAACAGAAAATAGTGTTTTTTGCATAGTCTTCACCTCCATCTTTTAAAACTGTAAATCCAATCCAATTTGCTTTACATTTAAAAAAAAACATCAAGTTTACCAAAGCGCTGCAAAATGAAATGAAAAGAACAGACACAGCAGAAAACATCAAGATAAAATAAATAACAGCAGGTAAAAAAAACTAAAAGGAAATAAAAACACAAAAAGCATAAAAGAAAAAAGGACAGAGATCACGCAACTCTCACGCTGAGCTAAAAGCCACTGAATAAAAATGAGTTTTAAGACGTGATTTAAAAGTAGAAAGAGTGGGGGATGTTAAATCTCGAGTGGCAATTCGTTCCACAATTTGGGAGCCACAGCCGAGAAAGCTCGATCGCCAGGGTTAACTGAAGGAGAGAAGTTAAAACTCTAAATAAAGTCAGGTTTCATACATGTCAGAATAATCCTGATCATATTTTTTCATTCTTCCATGATCTTTAAAAGGTTTCACCAGAAATTCCAGCAGGCAGCGATGATCTAAAGAAAAATGACCCAGTTTCTCTTTAACATTTTGTAGTGAGCTGTTGGGCGCTGACAGGAGGAGGAACAGAGTTTAGGGTTTTTCTGCCTGCTGAGGTCAGAAGGGCGAGCCGCTCTGCTTTCACTGTTTTTCTCTCCTTTCTTCTTCTTCTTCTTTTGACTCTCTCTTTCTTAAAGCTCGGATCGGCTTCGAGCGATGGAGCTCTCAGACTCTCTCTCTCTGTGAGCCTCCGCTCTGTGAGCTCTCACCCTTTCAGCTCTTGGCAATACGTGTTTTGACTCGTTCTTCTTTTCAGCCTCCGTTCCTCATGAGTTCGATATCTGCGGGTCACGTCTGTGTTTTCAGGGTTTTTTGATAACTTATTGATCTGAACTGATATTATTTGGGCTTCTTTGTTCGCTTTGCCATGTTGTTTTTGACAGGGCAGGCTGCTGAAATAAACGGGCTGGCTCAGGTTAAAACCTTTATCTGTACAGTTATCTCTTATGGGATTATCTGTAAACCAGTTTGACTTGTTTGTACAGCGTAAGAAAATAGTCGATATCTTCTGTTTTTAATTCAATTTGTGTGCATTTGCCTTTAAGACGTGTTAAAAACTGGAGTGTCATCCTTGCTGACTTAGTATTGTGCCGGCTACAGTCATCCACATGTAACAGTTCTCATGAAAAGATGTCTTTCTCTCAAACCATGAATATTAGATGCCTCTCCTCCTGCAGCTCCCGTGAAAAACCTTCATCTCTTCTGTGTCTCCCTCCAGCTGCCGGCCTGTACTACTTGGCAGAGCTAATAGAAGAATACACAGTTGCTACTAGTCGAATAATAAAGTACATGATACTGGTGAGTGCAGTGATGTTGTTCTCATGTTTGAATCAGAGAAGTATGAGGTTAATAACGCTGATGTCTGTGTTTGTGTGAATGTTCCCAGTTCTCCACAGGTGTGCTGGCAGGTCTCTATGTTTTTGAAGGATTCCCCATGTTTATGGTGGGGGTCGGCCTCTTCACTAACCTGGTGTATTTCGGCCTACTGCAGACGTTTCCGTACATCCTGCTCAGCTCCCCAAATTTCATCCTCTCCTGTGGTGAGCAGCTCAGACAGACACTCCCTTAAAGGGATATTCCGGCGTAAAACTAATTAAGGGTCAAACACGCTGTGACACAGAGTTAGACACCCGCTCGAGAGATGAATGTTGCCGACCACTTGCTTCTCTAGTTATACCAACTTTAGTAATGACCGCACGATAGCAATACAGAGAGCCACACACTCAACCAAAACGCCACTCTATAGCCACAAATAATGCTCAGAACAGCACCTAACTTCATCAACAGTACATATAGAGTCCTAGCCACAGCAGTAGCCACCAAACATCTTTGTAGTTTTGCCTAATTTCTTTAGCAGAGAGACTACACACAACTCATCTACTCTCTTCCAGCAGCCGCTTGTTTGTAGGGAGACCTCAGCTCAAGGAAGAACATTTATGATCATTTCTTTATCATTTCCTTGAAGTAATAATCATCATATTTATCATTTTGCACTGCAGACGCGGTAGTTCTTCTGCCTTAGTGTCTCGGTCTGATTGTATTTCCATGAAGTAATGATCATAAATGTTCTTCCTTGAGCTGCGAAACTCCGCTGCAGTAATGGACTCGCCTAAGGTCTTGCTACAGAAAAGCGGCTGCTGGAAGAGAGTAGGTGAGTTGTGTTTAGACTCTTTTCTAAAAACATTAGGCATATTCAAAAAGATGTTTGGTGGCTAGGACTCTATATATTGTTGATGAAGTTAGGTGTTGTTCTGAGCATTATTTGTGGCTATAGAGTGGCGTTTTGGTTGAGGTTTGTTTATGGTTCCTCAGACCGCTGTGTATTGCTATCGTGCGGTCGTTACTAAAGTTGGTATAGCAAGAGAAGCAAGCGGTCGGCAACAATCATCTCTCGAGAGGGTGTCTACCTTGGTGTAGTGATGTGTTTGAACCCAACTGAATTAATGCTGGAATATCCCTTTAAAGTTGAAGCAAAGTTGATACCAGGACTTACGATCCTTCTTTCTTATTCTGTTTTTTTGTCTCTGCCCTTCAGTGTTGGTAGTGGTGAACCATTATATGGCCTTCCAGTACTTTGCACAAGAGTATTATCCATTCTCAGAGGTAATTTAATCTCAGTCTTTCAAACTGTGTCTCATTATGAATTTTTGGAGGATCTTCTTCCGTTTAAAATCATCACTTGTCGTTAGGTGTTGGCGTACTTCACCATCTGCCTGTGGGTGATCCCCTTCGCCTTTTTCGTGTCACTGTCAGCGGGAGAAAATGTGCTTCCGTCCACCATGCAACAAGGAGGTGAGCTCTTTATTATGTTTCTCTGTCCAGCTTGAGATTTCAAATCTGACAGGTTGTTTCTTTTTTATTTTTGTCTCATCTCTTTGGAAATTCTTGGATTGCCTCTCTATATCAAACAAAAATGACGCCTTATTCCCTGAACAACCTTGAAACAGCATGTGCACCATAAAGTACACCACTTTTTAATCATAAATAAATGCAAATAAATTACATATTTGCTTTCCACCAGTTGTAGCACAAAGGGTAAGAGTGTGCGGATGATGGATCGGTGGTTTTATTAACGTTTCCTTTTCCTTCCAGATGACGTGGTGTCTAATTACTTCACAAAGGGCAAGAGAGGGAAGAGGTCTGGTATCCTCCTCATATTCTCGTTCCTCAAGGAAGCGGTGCTGCCCAGCCGACAGAAAATGTACTGAGGAGCGCTGAACTGGGATGCAGCCTTGGGTTTGTGTGTGTGTGTGAGAGAGTGAGTGGGTGCGTACGTTCATGGGAACCAGGAAAGACTGAAAAACTAAATTTGTATCCGGATGGGACTGAAACAAAGAAGTGGCCAAAAAAGAAGGAAGAAAAAAGAAAAAAAAAGAAGAGGACGGACCAATGAACGGGACAGAGCTTCACGCTGGACGAGTTTACACAGGCCACGTTCGTCTCTCCTTGTCTGTGTGTGTGAGTGTGTGTGTGTGTACCGACTGCCAACATCTACTCGAGACCTCACTGAGGGGATCTTCTCTGTAGCGTAATGCTTTCTTATGGTCATGTTGGACTCCTCCATTTTTTAAGCTTTGGTATGAAACTGTATGTGTGCCGAGTCCGACATTAACAAAGACGAACCTGTAAAGTTTGACTCTTGCAGATAAATCATCACTTTGGTTCCTCAGATGCATCTGCTATCGGTTGTGTTTTGTAGGAATCACACTTTAGAGGTAACATCAAACACAAACTTAGATAGAAGAACGGGGTGGCACTAGAGTTCTCTCTGACTAAATCCTACTAAAACTTTGACTTTGGTGCCAAGTGATCTGAAAGAGCTGCTGGCAAGATGCCACAGACAGGCTTAAAGAGATCACCCGAAATAGTGAGGGTGTAATAAATCAGCCCCATTAAGACTTCTTATTCCAACTGTGAGGTTTTACATGCTTAAAGGGACAGGTCTTTATTTTTAAAGTGGGGTTTGTATGAGGTTCTTGTCAACAGGAGATCCTGGTTAGCTCAAAGAAACGAAAGCTAGATGATCATTCGAGTTAACCGTGTGACTTTGCTTTTCTAATCCAAAAATTGCTGGGGTTTTTCAGGGTTTTAATACTTAAAGGGATATTCCCATGTAAAATTAATTTAGGGTCAAACACACAATAACACTGAGTCAGACACCCCCTCGAGAGATGAATGTTGCCAACTGCTTGCTTCTCTAGTCATAACAACTTTAACACTGTCCACACGATAGCAATACTCTGAGTAGCCATTAAACAAACCTCAACCGAAACGCCACTCTATAACCGCAAATAATGCTCAGAACAGCACCTAACTTCATCAACAGTACATATAGGGTCCCAGCCACAGCACTAGCCACCAAACATCTTTCAACTTTGCCTAATTTCTTTGGAAAAGAGACTAAACACAATTCACCTACTCTCTTCCAGCAGCTGTTTGATTGTAGTGAGACCTCATTACGGACTGCTGTGGGGTGTCACAGCTCAAGGAAGAACATTTATGATCATTAGGAAATGATAAAGAAATTATCATAACTGTTCTTCCTTGAGCTGCAACACCCCACAGCAGTCCATAATGGACTGCGCTGAGGTCTCACTACAACCAAACGGCTGCTGGAAGAGCGTAGGTGAGTTGTGTTTAGTCTCTTTTCCAAAGAAATTAGGCAAAGTTAAAAGATATTTGGTGGCTAGTACTATGGCTGGGACCCTATATGTCCTGTTGATGAAGTTAGGTGCTGTTCTGATCATTATTTGTGGCTATAGAGTGGCGTTTTGGTTGAGGTTTGTTTATGGCTCCTCAGACCGCTGTGTATTGCTATTGTGCGGTCGTTACTAAAGTTGGTATAACTACAGAAGCAAGAGGTCAGCAACATTCATCTCTCAATAGGTCGTCTAACTCGGTGTTATCTTGTGTTTGACCCTAAATTAATTTTACGCCGGAATATCCCTTTAATGGACTGTCCTAATGCCATTAGAGAAAGGGTGAAAGATGCACTTCAATTTGGCAATTCAATTTGAACTTCTAAAAATTGAAGAAAACAAGTGAAACAGTGGCGAAGGACCGTACCAAAAGTTCCTCAGAGGAGTTTTAAAAGTTTGAGATAACGTGGTGGAGCTGAGCCCTCTGTAGCTTTCATCTGCTTTTTAGGATCTTCTATGGATTTACAATTGGCGGGTACCTCATACATCTCCACTTGAAAAAAACTGAACCATCCCTTTAAAGCACACTGTCTCATTTCATCACACAAACAAAACGATTACTTCAAGAAAACTTTGATATATCATTTGGATCATTTACAAGCAGACAGAAAACTGCACTTTCTCTTTTTTACGTTTCGTTGTCTTAAGTCTTCACGTTCATCAGTCGCTGCGCTGTAGTCTCCAGTACACCTGTCCTTTTTTTCTTTTTTTGACCGTTTAAAAGAAGAATCACAGAAATAACAGACTGATGTTTTTTTCTTTTTTACATTGATTGTTGAGTTAACCCGACATCAGAGACAACAACATCGGAGCGAAAAACACTTTTGAAGATGAAACCTGTGCGAAGACGCTGAAAGCTCACAGGTGTCAGGGACAAAAGCTGCTCGGAGTGGTTTGATGAAAGAAGTACTTCTGCTGAAGAGGCTGGAATTCTTTTTACCATTTTACCGAGAGCGACTCATTGTAGGCTGGTATGCACACACACGTGTAAAATAAAATAAAATAAAAAGATTTTGTTGAAATAACTCGCAGATTAAATGCTTCTTTTCAGTCTATGTTCGCAGAAATGGATTTCTTGAAAGTCGCCTTTTTAAATTAAATCAGATGAATTGATTGAGCAGCTTTTCCAGCAGGAGTGTATATATGTTTGTGTGTGTTTGTGTGTGTGTGCTGTACACGGCTTGTACGGCTCGGCCACCTGGTTGAAGCGAGTCTAACCTTTGCCCCGAACTAAGGTGTGAAGTGCTTCATGAAGTAAAAGGAAAAAGACAAAAACTCAACACATGCATTTACACACACCTTCCTCTGACAGGCCGCGGCTCACAGTTCCACACATGCTGTTGACAAGCCCTCACCTGGACCCCGAGTCAGTTCCCTTAGGGGGATCAGCGCGAGAGAAGGGTGGGGGGGCTACACACGTGTGACAAGTGACCCAGTTCACTGAGGTTTTCTCACCCTTCACTCACCCCGCACTTCACCCTGACACTCGTAATTTTGTCACTTTGAGCTGAAGTTTGTTTGGAAACATCTGCTTTCGAGACTGTTTGTTCCCTTTAGATGCTCTTCAACGCACCAAATTGACTCCATAATAAGCGCCCACTGTGTTTTATTTGCAAAAGCGTAAAAGATGTCATTAATAACTGTTTTCTACCAGCAGGGTTTCACTACTTAATGGACTGTCGTAACGCCGTGGAGGAAAGAATGAAACTTATTGAAAGTTGCACCTTAATTTGGCTTCTCTGGATTTCTGATTGAACTTCTAAAAATTGAAGAAAACAAGCAAAACAGTGGCGAAGGACTAAGATTGGTGAGGGAGGAATACCGCACCAAAAGTTTGAGACAAAGTGGTGGAGCTCTGTAGCTTTCATCTGCTTTTTAGGATCTTCTATGGATCACAATCGGCAGGTACCTCATACATCTGCTTTCGAGACTGTTTGTTCCCTTCAGACGCTCTTCAACGTACCAAATTTACTCTGTAATCGATAAGCGCCCTCTGTGTTTTATTTGCAAAAGCGTAAAAAATGTCATTAATAACAATTTTTCATCAGTAGTTTGCTTTTTTTTTGGCTGATGGAGGATTTCCAGGACCAGGAAAGAGTAAAATTGTGTATATTTTCTTATCCCTCTGAGATTAAAACTCCAAATATACCTCAAATCTAGAGACACCTCCCTCGTCATATTTCTAAAAATACCTGAACAAACTAATTCCGGATTATTTTCAAGTCATGTTTTCCACATCCTTCCTGTCAGTATCAGTAGTGTCCAAACTCCAGCACCTCAACCAGATGCATGGCCACCTCTGTCCAGGGGGAGGTGCTCCACCCCTGGGGGTACCCTCTGTGCTGGACCCCCGTAATGTCCTGGGCCTCAAGGTGCCGAGGGGAAGCGATCCTGGAAGGGAATGCTTTGGGGAATAACACCCTCTCCAGGACGTCCAGAGGCAGATCAGGGGCCGGGCGAGGAGTGCTGTCCCACTTTGTGGAGTAGAGACACGGCCCGTTGCTGTCCCTCCACACTGTGACGGAGCTCCGAAGGTCTGGTTCTTCTTTGGGGGGTCTCTCAGGCTGGTTGCCCTGGTAGATGGTCCAAGGCCTGTGGCAAGAGGCTGGAGGTTTCTTGGGCCTGTTCCCTTCATTTTGAGTTGCGTCCATGTTTGTTGTCGGATTTGAGGTGTCTTGATCGGATGAGAGACACTTGGTGTGGAATTTGCTGACCCGGATTCTGGGGGTGAAATCCTTCAGTAGAGGAAATCCTTTCTTGTGGGCCCACTCTGTGATCTTCTCATCGATAAGGGTCTAGAAATGGGCACAGAGAAAGTTTCATGAGTGTCTTGGGTAGATTAAAAACTACATAACCCATCTCCTCTTGCTGTAGTTGTTAAACTTTTAAGTGTTTTCATAGATTCACAAACTAACCTTGTTTTTGCGATCAAACTGTCTGACCCCAGCGACAAGATCCTTGTACAAGTCTTGAGCCCGCTTCCTCTCCTTCATTTCTTTGTCCTTTTCTTTCTGCCACATGCAGCTTTTCAGGTACCTGCAAAAAAAAGGAGGAACTTTGATTTAAAAAGAAGAAAAAAAACATCCTGGTATGTATTTTTCTTTCGGTTCGTTACCTCGCCACCGCCCTGCAGCACCAGATTCGGGCAAAATCCAAAGGAGTGAATCCCATGCTGTCCCGGGCTGACACGTCTGCTCCAGCCTGCACAAGGATCTCCACACAGTCCAGGAGATCCGTGGAGGCAGCCAGGTGCAGCGGGGTCACGCCTGAATCTGTGGAACTGGGAGTAACAGTCGGAGCGTACTTAAATGTTCTCTCAGCCTTATCACCATCTTCATTACTCTTGTCGTCGTAATCATCATCAGCAGTGCCGTCATTATCCCCTGCAGCAGGAGCTTTAAACCGTCATCATCTCATTGCAATCATAATTTCACTTTTGTTCTCCTAAGCGCTTATTTAGTCATTTAAATGAGCTCGCAACAGCTGGATGTCACTGGATCCAGCTGACAGAATTTATAAAAACACCCATAATCCGGCAAACTAAGCTGCCGCAACTCCAACCATGTGTCTGTGAAACTACGTGACTTACACGTTGACGTCAGCACCGTGCTCCAGGAGGTATCTGACGCACGCCGTGGTGTTTGGGTAGCTCAGGGAGGACAGGACCATGTGGACAGGCCGGCGGCCGTGCTGATCTCCTGCGTTGATCCTCCCCGGTGTGGCGTCCAGCAGGAGCTGAATCTCGGCCAGCTGGCCGTAAAGGCAGGCCTGGTGGAGGCCTGACGGACCCTGGAGGATGAAACCCAAACACATGCACAGAGCATCATTTCAGTGACGTGGTCAGTGATGAATTAGTGATGTTTTTGTGAAGTTATGGGGCATTGGGGGACCTTTCATAGTCAACACTTTGATGTTTCAAATCACAAAGGGAGTAGACTTTGCTGTGACACTTAATCACTGACGTAAATGGGTTAAAAATATCATTAGGGGAGAGTGGGGTGAGATGAGCCATTTTATGGTAACTGTCTCAAACAAGTGTATCTGCATATATTTCAAGGTGTTGCGCATCCCTGCAAACCAACAGAATGAGTGTAAACTTTACTGTCTTGATAATATAGCATGCCAAAAAACCACCCCGGCCCTCCCTCACCTTCTCTCTCCCTAAATAACAGTCACTTCTTCACATTCATGTGTATTTTTATCTATTAGACGCTATTCAACTGGTACAATAATTCTTATTATTATTGCATATAACGACTAAAAAGCTGTTTTGTAAAAAGCCATTTTAACATGAGAATGTCTTTAAGTGATTCAGAACATTCACAGCTGTATTTTTGAGAAGAAAGAGTAACACATGTCTCATCAGACTCCTTTATTTACCCCTGAACTGCTATTATGACTTTGTTACAAAATGGCGGACTTTTATGTTTTATGTAGCTCATAGATACCACAACAGGGGGTGACTCAACTTACCCCACTCTCCCCTATATTTCACTGCAACCTTAAGAAAGGTCCTTAACACTTAAAAGTTAACCAACATGCAGTATTTCTTCTAGTTTTTTTCCCCTCTGTTGTGTTTTTGAGTTTACCTGCTTGTCCTCAAAGATATTCACCATCTTTGGCAAACTGACATCACCGTCTGGAGACGTGAGTCCGTCCGGAGGAGCTCTGTGGGTGAGTTTCCTACAAAAAACACACACCGTATGAAACTTTAGATATTAATTTGCAGTAGTAAAGGGCACAAGAAAGATTTGAACTGACTTAAAACGGATTTTTAGATAAAACTTTGCTGTTTTTCGGCAAACGGACATTCAGTCGACTGAAAAAATACCCATTACAGCGAAGTTAAGCTGCTAAACTGGCCTTCATAATGAAGAATAATCGACAGTTACGCTTTAAACCCATAAATCAAACTTGTAAAGGGACATATTTAAACTTATTTACCGATTTTTACATCTCCCACTTCTCCTTTTTCCGGATTTGTTGGCGGGTGCCATCGTTGCCATGGGAACGCAGTAACCAGGACGCGACGTGAGCATTGATTTACGGCAAAAAAGAGAAACTTAAACTGTTTTCTACACAGAAATACGCAGAAAAGAGAGTAAAATTTTTAATAAAACCTACTCTCTACTCATCCAGGGTAAAAAACGGAATATTTTTGCCAAAGCTTTTGTCAGTATTTCCCTTTAAACACGGTCCCTTCACACTTAAGTCATATCTAGCTTTACAAAGGGTACATATCCAACTCAAGTCCAAACAAATAACTCTTTTACCTTTTACTTGTTAAAAATGAGTAATGAATGGTGAAACACTGAAAGAAAGCCACTTGTGTTAGGTTTTAGGCGACTTCTAGGCCACTTCTTCATACAGTATATTCAGTAACATGTGTTGTGTCTGAGTGTAATAGCTTCTGACAGAACCGGGCAGATGAGTGGCTGCAGGCATGGCAGAAATGGATACTTCCGCTCCCCCCATGTCGAGTCCTCAGCCCTCCACTCATACATCTCTGTGTGGTTGTATTGACGGTGCAGTCGAGGTGGCAACTCGCATTAGGCCTGAGTAAAGCAGATCGATCCGGCCAATGCTGGGGAGGCCTCAGAGGGGCCCGTATGGATTCTGTATGAATCGGAGAGGTCATATTCTCAGTGTCTCTGCGGAGCAGAAGAGTCGATGGGCTCATCGGACAGCGGGGCTCGCTGATCACTGGCATCATCCACCACTTGACCCCTGACTGAACTGAGTGAGGACACGATGCAGAGCTGAAAACTACAGTTTGACTCAGAGGCAAGTATTAGGAAGTTGGACAATTACAATCAGTAATTATAAGAAACGACAGATTAAGATCTATTTAAAGGGATATTCTGGTGAAAATTAATTTAGGGTCAAACACATCGTAACACAGAGTTGGAGAGATGAATGTTGACGACCGCTTGCTTCTCTAGTTATACCAACTTTAGTAACGACCGCAGATAGCAATACACAGCGGTCTGAGGAGTCGTAAACAAACCTCACCCAAAACACCACTCTATAGCCACAAATAATGCTCAGAACAGCACCTAACTTCATCAACAGTAAATATAGGGTCCCAGCCATAGTACTAGCCACCAAACATCTTTTTAACATTGCCTAATTCTTTAGCAAAGAGACTAAACACAACTCACCTACTCTCTTCCAGCAGCCGCTTGTTTGTAGCGAGACCTCAGACCAGTTCATTAAAGACTACAGCGGGGTTTCACAGCTCAAGGAAGAACATTTATGATCATTACTTCATGGAAATGCAATCAGACTGAGACGCTAAGGCAGAAGATGATCATAAATGTTCTTCCTTGAGCTGTGGCACCCCGCAGCAGTCGGTGATGGACTGGTCCAAGGTCTCGCTACAAACAAGCGGCAGCTGGAAGTGAGTAGGTGAGTTACTAAAGTTGGTATAACTAGAGAAGCAAGGGGTCGGCAACATTCATCTCTCCAGGGCGTATCTAACTCTTTGTTATGGTGTGTTTGACCCTAACTTAATTATACGCCGAAATATCCCTTTAAAGCTCCCATGAGGAACTTTTCCGCCGCCTGTGGACAAAACAGTTTTTCTTTATCTTGTCCTCTACGTGCCTAACTGCCCCCTTGCACCAGTTTGAAGCATTAAAAATAACAAGATAACATTTGTAGATCATCAAAAGGCAGAAACATGAATTTTAGTCAATTCCATATCAGCTTTAAATCTGCTTTATTTGGTCTTCAATCCTTCAGTCATGACCAAACCTTTACGCTCCTTTTTCTCTACATTGCTTACACTCAATCCTTCTTCTTTATATCCAATCTCTGTTTAACTCTCCATCTTTCTCCATACTTCAGAGCCGCAGAGGTCCAGCGGACGGTCAAGGACAGGGCGTGGACCCCTGGCTTTCTGCTCCGTGTGCCAACCCCCCAGGGCCTTCTCCTTCCTCACGACACGGCCATGCAGCTCCTACGGTGACATGTGTGTGCGCTGACCGAGTGAGTAAACCATCTCTGAGTGTATATATGAGCGTTTTAATGTGTGGACAGTGTTTGTGTGCACACAGTGTATGCGGGTTAATAGAAAGCGAACAGCACGCCCCCCACTCAGGCCTCAGCGGCTCCCTCTGACCTCGGTCACATGTCATAGTGGTTGTACGAAGCCTTCGTGGTAGAGCTCTTTCATGTTTGACTTTCAGCGCCGGTCCCTGGACAGTAACCCCCAACGTGACCTCTTTCTCTGACGTTAAAGTGTGTGTGTGCGTTTTATTGTCTGTGCGTCGATAAATTTAGCCTGTCCAAGAGTGTGTTTTCCTTAAAAGCACCAAAACCTTAAAAGCTTTCTTTTGTATGGAAGATCTCGCTTGATTTGCAAGAAATGTAGATAAGAGGAAATGTTTTATGGCGGTTTTGACTCTAAATTGGATTGTATGATTATCTCTTTCTCCCTTTTTTAACCTCTGATGCTCACCGCAGTCTAAAAGCACAATGAAACATGTGTGTTTGTGTGTGTTTGCGTGTGCAGTGAGTGTGCATACATGCATTAGCTACAGCACATCCAGTTGGTGCAGAGCAGATTAGCAGCGGGCTGATCAGAGCTGTCTAAACCTGCTTAGGGCGAGGATGAAAATGAGATCATGTCCCAGCAGCCTCGCAGCCCGCCCTCCGATTGGTCCGTCTCGTTATCCAATCGCGTCGCATGAGGCTCTCATTGGTGGAGCGACGGGGGCTTCTGTTTGGTTTGTGGCACCTGACCTATTGGTTCAAGTCTGACATCTCACATCAGATGGAAAAAGTTCAGGGTTATGTCTGTTTAAACGGTTTTATTCTTTAATTCTGTGGATTTCTGGAGATTTTAATTCTAGATACACTTAAAAAAATAAACAAATAACAATTCCCCCACAGAAAAAGGCCCCTTTTGTTGATTTGAAACTAAACTTCCAGTCACTTTTTTGCAATACTTGAATTATTAAAGCTCCTATAAGTAGTTTTTTAAAGGGATATCCCGGCATAAAATTAATTCACTTAAACACATCATTTCTTAATGGAAATACAATCAGACCGTGACAAAATTATCAATATGATGGTTATTACTTCAAGGAAATGATAAAGTAATGATTATAAATGTTCTTCCTTGAGCTGTGTCACCCCGCTGTAGTCTGTAATGGACTGGCGTGAGGTCCTACTACAAACAAGTGGCTGCTGGAAGAGAGTAGGTGAGTTGTGTTTAGTCTCTCTTTCTAAAGAAATTAGGCAAAGTTTAAAAGATGTTTGGTGGCTAGTGCTAGGACCCTATATGTACTGTTGATGGAGTATGACTCCTCAGACCACTGTGTATTGCTATCTTGCGGTCGTTACTAAAGTTGGTATAACTAGAGAAGCAAGTAGTCGGCAACATTCATCTCTCGACGGGGCGTCTAACTCAGTGTTACAGTGTGTTTGACCCTAAATTACTTTTACGCCGGAATATCCCTTTAACATTCGTGAAATAAACTCAAATTCATATTGATGTCTTCTTACAATATCCAAAAGCAAACAAGAATATCGAGGACAAGACAGGAGATTTTCATTTTTAATGCCTGAAAGTGGTGTGATGGGGGTAGGTGTCACTCTTTTTCATACAGCTGCCCGTCAAAAGTCAGCAGGATAAAAAGTTTTTGTTAATAGACACAACTTAAGATAAGCAAAGGCCGCTTTGACCACAGGGGGCGCCAAAATCAACACAAACCTTGCATCAGACATCAGGCTGGCAAGTGTGCTTTTACTGGTCTAATTAACTTTTAAGTAATTTTAAGATATTTTGTTGACTTTTAACTGGTTTGAATCTTATCTGTATTGAATTGAGGTTTGTCCCAACATTCAACTTTCACCTCAGGATCATCATGACCATAAAAATATCACAATAAATCTTCAAATTAACAACATGATCAGTCAAAAAGGCAAGTTAACATGTTAATTCATGAACGCCGTTGATTTACACGTCATCGTCCATTTCCACTGAACGTATTGGAGAGGAAAGTGATTGAAGAGGAAGTGAAAATGAGAGTTTCGAAGGAATGAAAGTTATTCAAGGAAAAAGACAGAGAATAGAGAAAGGAGAAGATAGGGAGCAGAAACCATCGCTTCAACACGCCTCCATATTTGATGAGCCACCTTACAAGGACCCTGAGCCCCCGGGACTTCTGAACTCTGCTTGTGTAAGTGCGCTGATGCTCTCGCTTCCCTCCTTCCTCCTCTGGTCCTTCTTCCTTCATCTCTCGCTTTCCCATCGTTTCGCTTTTTACTCCATCCCTTAGCTCCTCCTCTAGTGTCTTTTCCTTTTTTCCTCTCCTCCCTCTCTTTTCTCTCTCTCTCTCTCTCTCTCTTTCTCTCTCTGTGTGCCTCATGCTCAGCGAGGCGGCAGCGCGCTAATGCACCATGGCATATTCTGCAGCTCCAAGTCACAATGCGACCAGGCTTTGCGCAGTGACCGCACAGCGACCTCCCTCAGTATCGCTGCACAGTGACGCTGTGCTGTACCAGGGCCTGTTCGGGGCGAAGACTGAGGCAATGTGAGGGGGCGGAGTTAAATGATGAAGAAGAAGGGAGAGGGAGCGAGAAGAAGAAGAGTCCTGCCAGCGAAAGGTGTGATCCAATCAGCTGGGAGAATATTTGAAGGAAAAGGCAGGATTGTCGAACGGGAGGATGTTCGTGTCCGTGTGGCGATGTCTCCGTAATCAGATTATCACAAGTCATGCATGTGGTTTCTCACACGGCAGATAGCTGATATAGCTTTACCTGTCTGTTCCACCAATCCCCTAAGAAGTGTTCCCCTAAAGTTCTCACACCACTTTTTTCAAATTTCGGGTACCCCTGCTCTTCCACTCCTACGTCAAGCTGCGCTCTCTTACCCCCAAAGTCCTGACAGACATCACGCCATCACACCTTTCCAAGATCGGGGGGTTTTCTCCCACATTTCTCGCACACGTTCTTCTCGGTCTTCACAGCTCGGCAGGAACAACCAGAGGGAAGAGGAGGGAGATAAAGGAGCTGAGAAAGACACGGGCCTGAAAGGTCACAGTTATGCAGTTGGAAGGGAAAGGATACACCATCGACCTGTCACGATTTATTTATTCGTGAATCGAGATTAGTCTCACTTTCCTTCTCCAGCTGTTGGTCGTCACGCCACTCATGCTGTCAAGACATTGGCTGACCCATGAAGCTGCGCTCAACACCATATTAGGAGTTTACAATTCTGATTGAAAGCAAATACACCTGCTCAAACTTTAGCTGCTCTGTTGTCGTCCCTCCACTAAGGCGTCAAAGCTGCAGCACTCAATATAAACCCATTTCAAGAGGAATCCTTTGATTAAAATGAACATTAAAGGGATATTCCGGCGTAAAATTAATTTAGGGTCAAGCACACCCTAAAACCGAGTTACACACCCCCGTCAAGAGATGAATGTTGCCGACCGCTTGCTTCGCTAGTTTTACCAACTTTAGGAACGATCGCAGAATAGCAATACACAGCTATCTGAGGAGCCATTAACAAACCTCAACCAAAACGCCACAAATAATGCTCAGAACAGCACCTAACTTCATCAACAGTACATATAGGGTCCCAGCCATAGTACTAGCCACCGAACATCTTTTTAGCTTTGCCTAATTTCTTTAGCAAAGAAACTAAACAACACTCACCTACTCTCTTCTAGCAGCCGCTTGTTTGTACAGAGCCCTCAGACGAGTGCATTGACTGCAGCGGGGTGTCGCAGCTCAAGGAAGAACATTTATGATAATTTCTTTATCATTTCCAT